CTTCCCCCGGAACCGGAACCGGAACCGCGGCAGGCACCAGGGCCCCCGCCACCAGGAACAGACCACCGGCACCCTGTCCTTGTCACACGTCCGGCTGATCCAGCGCCGCCGCCGGCCAAGCCCCTTTGGGGTACCTGGGGACACGTGGTGTTTTCCTTCACTGGGCACCACGAGTAACGCGTGGTGAGCACAGAGCAGCATTCCCTGCAGGCCTGGACTCGGGCAGGACGCACAGGGCCCCCCATCGCCCTCCTGAGCGCCCGTCCTCCAAGGAGAGGCTCTGCGGGCCGGCAGGAGCAGAGGGCCCTGCACCCCAGCCATCCCCAGCTGGGAGCCCTTACAGCATCGGAGGGGCATTGAGACGCGGAAGCACCTGCCGCCGACGCAGGGAGGTGCTCTGGGCTGGAGAGAACGTTCCAGACAAGGAAGGGGAGGGCGGAGCTTGCACTTTGGACCTGGCGGCCTCCCTGCTGAGCCAGCTTGTTCCCAGACTGTGGGGTGCGGCCGCGGGCATGAGGTCATCTGCAGACAAAGGTTGTGCCTCCTGAATGACATAAGACACAGACCCACACAATTCCTGTTGCGGTGAGAGGCCAAGGCCGTCTCCTGCAGGAGGCCACGGGGTGCAAGTGCACGTCTGAGACGGCTGTGAGAGTCACTAAGGTCGAGGCGAGGGTGACGCCCCCACACGGTGAGCACGCACTGAGTCAGCTCACGCACGGGCAAGGGGGTGCCCTGGGGACCACGCACACCTACGGATGTCACCCCACAGTCAGACAGCCTGACACTGCAGGGTCAGGATATGCACCCCAGGATACCCACAGTGACCAGTGCCACCTAGGCTACCCTGCAGGGCCACCTCGAGGAATACTGGCAGAACCAAGCCAAAGCCACAGCCATGGTGGACACACAGCCAGGCAGAAAGGCCCCGGCTGGGGGGGGGTGTGGCCCAGAAGACCAGCGAGTGGGCGCCCTGACCCAGGACAGACTTACCACCCATTGGAGGAAGAGGACCCTTGGACATGGGGGCCACCTTGGACGTGGGGTGCCTTGCTAGCAACCTGTCTGTCCTTGAAGCCTTCCAGGACAGCAAGGGTTTTGGTGGCCCAGAAGCTGCCAGAGACCACCCTGTGAGCTCCCGGGGCAGACAACCTGCACCTGTCTCAAGCACAGAATGGTGCGGCCTCCCCCCCCACCCCCCCCACCCCCCGCACCACCACCACCTAAGGGCACAGCTGTCGGCTGGGTTACGTCCTTGGATTTTCTGTTGATGTCTCATGACCAGGAAGTTTGACGTTTAAATCCTTTCTCAGGTGACAAGACAGCAAATAGTTTTGTTGGCTTTGGTTACAACGGTTAAAACTGTGCCCTTCCTTAGCAAAACTGGTAAGAAGAGAAGTCAGTTGGCTGCACACGGATTCCTACAGCAATAAAGAGACGGCAGCATTCGCATTTATAACGCGTGCGCGTTTTTGCTTCACAACACAGTAGTCTACACAATGCTGTCCGGCAGAGACAAAGCAGTGCCGTTTTAAATTATTTGCTTTTAGCACAGCCCTTAAGTCACCACCTGGGACACCCCACATCCGAGTGCCTGCTTTGAGTCCTGGCAACCCTGCCTTCCAACCAGCTTCCTGTTAATGCACGGCCCTGGGAGGCATCAGAGAGCGCTCAAGTACGCGGGCCCCTGCCAGTCACAAGGGGACACAGATGGAGCTCGGGCCCCTGGCTTTGTCTTCAACCAGCTCTGGCTACGGTGGGCATTCAGGGAGTGAGCCAGTGGATGGAAGATCTCTTGCCATCTGTCTTTCAGCTTTCAAGTAAAATGGAAAAAAGTCATTAATTATTAATTGCAGAACTGAAAGTATGATTAGATTTATTTGACAAAAATATTTTTAAAGTAACAATAATTTGCATAGATTAAAATCCCACAGCCCCCGTGTATGACAAAACCCAAATCTCTTAGCAAACTTTAACAGAAGGGAACTTTCTTCCTAAGACAGTGAATACGTAAAAAAGCAGAGCACCTGCGGCTCATCACACCCGATGCTGAGATACCGAACGCTTTCTCTCTCAGCTCGGAGCAGGCCCTGGGTGTCCACGCTCACCACTTCCACTGCTGTCACGTGGAGGTCCCAGCCTGCGCCACAAGTGCTGTGACGACAAGCATGTCCTTTTGGAGGCCATGGAGACATGGACACCAGGTGGCTCCTCTCCGCAAGGTGAGGGGAGGGAGAGGGCTGCAGCCCACTGCTGAGGGTTCGGCTCCAGGTTTCCTGGAGGAAGATGTGAGCACGTGCACACCCACACATGCGTGTGTCCACACACACAACATGCACACATCCCTCCCTGGCTCTGTGTTTGGTCTGAAACTCAGAAAACGCTTCCGTCGGCAGCTGGCATGATCAAGAGAACTTTCAGGTCCCCTGGCTGGGTCCGGGGCAGATAAGCCGAGTCTCATCCTGTCCGAGACTGTGGACGCAGCTGCCCACGCCCCGGGCCCACCTCTGGGAGTGGCGGAGGGTCTCTCTGCCAAGAGCGGCCGCTGCCCAAAGCTGGTGTCAGCGCTGGGTGCAAAGAAGGCTGGAGTGTGGAGGTCAGCATCTCTCCCTCAGAGGCTCTGGGAGTGGTGGGACGGGAGACTGACAGTGCCCCCACCCCCTTGTAGGGGACCTTGCTGGCCACGTAGACCCCCATTTATGGAGAGAATGCCCACTTCTCCTGTGCCTTCCCGCTTATGTCTTGGTTGTGTGGGGCCGGCCCACAAACCGTATGACCCACAAGGAGAGAGTGGGGGCCGACAGTGCCTGGCACGGAGCAGGTGCATGAGAGACAGAGAGAGCGTGTTGAGGACGCTAGCAAGGGCATGAAAAAGCCGGGCAAGAGGAGCCTTCCAGGCCCCGGCACAGATAGGTGGGGCTGACCCTGGTCAGCCTCATTGGTGGAAATTGCCCCGTGGCAGTGGGGCGGGGCAGGGGCCTTTGGCTGGGAGACCATAAACCGGCTCCTCCTACCGATAGCAGTCCCCAGGTAGCCAAGGACCCTGGCCAGCCTGCCTCCTCCTGTGCCAACAGGAGTTCGCCCAGTCAGCAGCTCGTGCGCGAGGTGACGGCTGGTCAGTGTAGGCTGGCTGGGGAAGGGTTCAGCTCTCTCTGCCCAGTGCGGACGCCATCCTTGTACTTGGCCGGATCCCAGGGTGTGTGCTTGCAGCGTTCTCCGTCGGAGCGGGCGCGGGGCTTCTGCGCAGCCCGCCGTGTTCTCTCGCACCGTCGACAGGATCCTCCCTGCCCTGGTTCATCACTCCCTCCACATCACACACTCCCTGCCAGCACAGACCCTGTGAGGGGTCCACCAGTCCCCCCGGGGGAAAGAAGGCTTCCAAGAACAGCAGACCAAAGCCAGCTACCAGACACTGCAAGCAAGTTAGATTCCAGGGTTTTCCAGAGCCCTGTTGTGTTCGATCAGGCCTGAGAGGATTGCTCTCCGTGTCGCCCCAAATCTCCCAGGTCTGCTGGAACAGGAAGGGCTGAAGCTAGGAAGGGGCTTGTAGTTAGGAGCCGGATCGGGGACGGCTGAGCGCGGAGAGCCACTCTGAGGCGTGCGTGGGCCTGAGCTGTTGACTCTGGAGGGCAGAACAATGCAACCGCTGACGTCAGGGCAAGGGAGGACAAAAGGCCCTCAGGGTGTGTGCAGGGTGCAGCCTGTGTGCCTGGCATGGCGGGGCAGAGAAGCAGGAGGAGGCGTGAGCTGCCCCAGGGCTGCCCCGCTGAACGTGGTCCCTGCCCCGGTTTGTGTCTGAGAAGTGGCACACGCACCTTGTCCAGCAGAGGGGCGGCAGCAGGTGAGCTGGCTTCCGACACCAGCAGCCGGGCGCCCTGGGCTACCAGTGCTTTCCCTTCCCTCCCATGCCTGGCCCCGGAGAGCCCAGCAAAGCAGCAGGAGAGGAAAGGGAGATGGTTCCCGGACAACGCCTGGTGCCCCCACCATTCCGAGACCCTGCTCTCCCAGAGCCTGCTGCCCGGGAGCCTGCGCGCCGCGCCGGGACTTGCAATGGTGTCCAGGCTTCTACACAGTCAGTGCACTCTCTCCCGACACGGCGATGGGAGGTTGGCGGCTTGCCATGCCCCCATCAGTGCTCACTACTCCAGGGTCAGTGCTGTCTCCCCGGAGCCCGCCCACCCCTCTGGCGCCTGTTTCTCTGTGGCTTGTAACTTGCTAAGGCCCTGCTGTTATACCAAACCCGTGTGTTGGCTGATTTATAATCCACACCACCCAGTTTAGTGTGGATGAAGTTCCTGGGACCGTCCTTTCTCCTTAATGATGTGCCTGCGGACAGGGACACCATCTTATTTTGTATCACCCCAAGAATTGCAATGCATAGTTAAAAAAATAAGAAGCTGACCCTCCTGACCAATCGGGGACAAGTGACCGCCACAGGCACCTGGGTGGCCTGGTGGGCTGTCTTCAGTTCCCTGGGCAGCTCCAGCGCCCAGCGATGAATGAATGAACGAATGAGTAAATAAATTAATGAATGAGTGAACGAAGGACGTCAACAGGGAGTTTCCCGCTGCCCTGGCCGCTGCGGGAGAGCCTCCGGCGGGTCGTCAAAGGCAGCAGCCCACGCAGCCCGGGCTTCTGTGCCGCGGGATCTTCCCTGCCGGCGGCCGGTGCGCAGTAGTGCGCCCCGCGCCTAGCTCCCCTGCCCCGCAGTGGTACGCGCCACTCCGCGCTCCCGGGGCGGGTCGACGCGAGGCGTCTTGAATGGAAGGCGCCGAGGCCGGAAGCGGAAGGGACCACTCGGCAGGACGAGAGGGGGGACACGAAAGCGCCGCCTCTTCATTGAGGAACCGAAGCAGTGAACATGGAGTTCCATGTGCGTCTTATGTAAAAAGAGCGACGGGCGCCGCCACCAATGAACGCGCGGCACCCGCAGGCCCGGCCCCCCCGGTATGCAGATGAGGCGCAGCCGCGACCAATGGCGCGCCGGGGGGCGGGCGCGGCGCGCGCGGTCACGTTTTCCACTATGTGACAGCGGCGGGTCGGGGCGGCGGCGGCGGCGCCGCGGGCTACGCGCTGGTCTCGGCGGCGGCGGCGGCGGGCGCGGGCCGGGCGAGCGCGCGGACTGGCCGGCGGAGGGTCCGGCGACGGCTGGGCGGTGAGTGGCGCGGCGCCCGGGCGGGCGGCGGGTGCGCGGGCAGCCGGCGGCCGCCGCTCGCCTCTTACGTAACCGCCCCGGGCCGGGCGGGCGGGGTCCGGCGCTGCGCTCTGGTGTGAAGGGCCGGCCCGAGCCCTTCACGGCCGGACGGCGGCCTTGGGACGGTTGTGTGCGGGAGACCTCGGGCCTGCTGCGGGCGCCCCTTCCCGCCGCGCAGAGCCAGCTTTGCGGATCGGGAGAGTGAGGCGCCGGGAAGCCCGACGGCCGGGCTGCGGTCTCGGAGCGACGGGGTGGGTGAGGACCACGCCGGCCTGCTGCCTCGTCCAGCGTCAGGCCCCGCAGCCGTGGGGGGCCCGGGGGGCCAGTCCTGGGCTGGAAAGGCACCCCAGGTGGGCGCTGCTCTGGGAGCTCTACCTCGACCCCCGCCCGGCGCCCTGGATGGGGCGAGCCGAGGTCCCAGAGGGTCACCGAGCCGGGCCGAGCCCGGAGGACCCCAGCCCGGCGCCCTGGAGGGGGCGAGCCCAGGTCCCAGAGGGTCGCGGAGCCGGGCCGGGCCCGGAGGACCCCCGCTCGGCCACCTTGTGTGCATTCCTTTTCCTGGGTGGGTTGGGGGCTCCGGGAGGGGGGGCGGTCTGGCCGAGCCGCAGACGTGGATCGCGGGGGGCAGGGGCCGTCCCCGCTCCGGGAAGCCCGGGGAGAGGATGACGGCTCTGTTGCCAGGGTTTCGGCGGCTACACAGAAGGAACCGGTTTGGAAGGCTGATTCATCCTCAACCGCGGAGTCACCAGGCACCCTGGAGCCGGTACAGGGGAGCCCCCCAGCTTGACAGAGACAGGCTCAGACTCAGCTGCGGCCTGCGGGCATCTCTCAGGACAGGGTCCCCGCGGGGCCTGAGTGGGCGGGGCTGGGAGCCCTAGGTGTTACCCAGGGGCAGGGGCCGCTCCCCATGTCTGGCGCACTTCTGTGTGACCCCCTTGCTCAGAGGGGGGACCCCCACCCTGGACCTGCAGCTGAGGTTCCTGGTCCCAGGCTGGGTTTGGCTAGGAGGGGACAGGACACTACCTGACGGCTTCCCCTGGGAGCCGGGAGTCAGCCTGCAGGTCGTGTAAAACCCTGGAGACAGGGCTCCCCGCTGCAGAGGAGCTGTGTGATGTGCCGGCACAGGGCCCAGACTGTGGGTGTCGGCAGGCACTTGTCACCGTCGTCTCGGTGTGATCACTGGGACAGAGCTCGCACAGGCCCGGCTCTCTGTGGAGGCTGGAGTGGGAGGCGGGAAGCCAGCCCGGGCCGGGCTGCACGGCTTGGCCCCGGCCGGGCCTTGGTCCCTCAGCTGTGTGGAGGGGCCCAGGCGGGGCGTGCTCAGGTCTGCTCAGTTGCCAAGCTGGGGGTCCCTGAGACGCCGCGGAGGAGAGCAGGCCGTCCCTCGGCGAGGCCTGGCCGCTGCTGGGGCACATTACCTTCCTGGAGGCGTGCTGCGGTCTGAATGGTGACACGGCTTCCCCAGGCCTCAGCAGGGCACAGGGCTCCAGAAGGTCCCGGCGCGGCCACCTGGAGAAGAGTAAGGCCCCCATGTTGAAAAACTGGCTTGAACACGGGACCGTGGCTTGGCAGGTGTCTGGCGCCCGCCCCTATGGAATCTGCCCATCTGCCAACCCAGGGAGGACCGGGGCCGGGGCCTCTGCCGGGCCCTGGCCCTGAGCCCGTGTGCTTTCCCCCGCGCTGCAACTCTGTGTTCATTCTGTGCCTGTTCGGTACAAGTTGTGGGGCGGGCATTTGGCGCCGTGGTTAGTTAGGAGGTCCGTGGGGATGCGGCATCCTGACTCTGAGTCCCGGAGAGCAAGTCCTGGCTCCATGTCTGCTCCGGCTTCCTGCTAGTGTGGAGCGGGTGGCGGGTCCCTGCCATCCACCTGGGAGCCCTGGCCTCGGTCCGGCCCAGCCCTGGCTGTTGAGGGCACTTGGAGAGGGGAACAGCAGACGGAAGATCTCGGTCTCTGCCTTTCAAGAAAATTGAAAATTTCTACTCTAAAGTTGCAACTGTGTCCCTAAGTCTGGAGCGGAGTAGGAGCAGCCGTGGCGGGAGACAGGTTGTCGGAGTCTGGTGGCTCCCCGGCACCGGGGGCTGCGTCGTGCCCCCTCCAAGGGTTCCTGTGCTCCTCCCGAGAGTGACAGAGACCAGGATGCGCTCTCGGAGCCACTCCAGGCAGGAGCCAGGGCCTCAGCTTCCTAGAATCCGCCCACCCCAGAGCGGCGCAGCGGAGCCCCGCAGCGGGGAAGCTGCCGCCACTTGAGCGCACTTGTGAATCTGCGCCTCCTCTCCCTCGCCTCCCGCGCCTCCCTCACCTCCTGCGCCTCCTGCGCCTCCCTCGTCGCGCCGGCCTCCTGCTCACATTTTCCTGTGACCCGGCGGCCGTCGCCATGGAGAGCGCGGCTGTTTATTCAGCAGGGCAAACATTCTGTAGATTACCCAGGCCTCAGGGAGCTGGCTCCCACCAGGAAGTAGCAAGCCTGTTACAATACGTGGGGTTGTAAAATACCGCCGCACTCGCAGGCACCGAGACAGGCTTCTGAGCCCTGTTACATAAAGCTGCGAAAGAGGCAGAACTAGCCGGGCTGGTGGGGCCCTGGGGTGGGCAGGTTGGGGGCGGGCAGCGCCCTCCTGCAGATCTGGGTGTCGCTCACACGGGCGTGCTCGGCTCACTGGCACACGGCAAGCCAGGGCTTCCACCGAGCGACTTTTGTGCAGCCATCCAGACTTTTCTCTTAAGAGCTGGACCTGCACGGTGGTCTCTGCTTCCCACCAGGAAACGTGCCCCTCCGTGGGTGCCCGGTGTTGAGACACAGCGCCGGAGAGGCTGGAACTGGGGCCCCGGCTGGGCGTCCGGGCCCTTCCTGTACTGTTTGCTGTGGAGTTCCGAATGTCTCTGGACACGGAGGAGATGTCACGAGCCCCCATGGACCAGCACTTGACCCCCACCGCTTCCTCCCTCCAGTCCTAGACTCCAGTGTGATCGCCACGCACTTTCTGAACGTTCCTCTGTCGGCCAGCCTCAGCCCAAAGCTGTGCCCAGCGAGCGGTCGGGGTCCGAGCAGAAGCCCTCTCTTAGAGCGTTCTCCAGGGCAGAGCCCACGGGCGTACTTGCACGGGAGGGCAGGGGCTGGAGGGGAGGCTTGGACCAGGGGATCCCGGCCGCCCTTGTCCCTCCTGTGCCCGGCCCCCTCCCTGTGTGGTAGAAACAGGTTTCCCGGGAGCGCCAGGCCCCGGCACAGCTGGCACGCATGTGGGATAAATGTTTGCGGAGCACAGGAGGCAAAGTCTGCTTGGCCCAGTGTGTGGTTTTGCCAGCTTGGCAAGTGAGGCCAGTGCCTAAGCTGGCGCTGCCGGTGCTAAGCAGCGCATGTTCGGGGATAACCAAGTTCTGGGTGATCTGGCCCTGGTTGCTGTTTCACATTTCTGCCACACCTGCGCTGCCCCCACCACCCTCCTGGGTGACCCGGTGGCCCTGAGGAATTGTATTCAAATAGGCCGGTGCCATGAGCAAAGACCAGGGTTCCAGGAGCTGAATGTGAAATCATAGGGTGCTCAAGTGTGTGGGGCCCAGGAGCCCAGTGTGAACTCACCGTGTGGTCGGGTGTGAGGGAACAGGAGCCCAGTGTGAACTCACCGTGTGGTCGGGTGTGAGGGAACAGGAGCCCAGTGTGAACTCACCGTGTGGTCAGGTGTGAGGGAACAGGAGCCCAGTGTGAACTCACCGTGTGGTCGGGTGTGAGGGCCCAGGAGCCCAGTGTGAACTCACCGTGTGGTCGGGTGTGAGGGAACAGGAGCCCAGTGTGAACTCACCGTGTGGTCGGGTGTGAGGGAACAGGAGCCCAGTGTGAACTCACCGTGTGGTCGGGTGTGAGGGAACAGGAGCCCAGTGTGAACTCACCGTGTGGTCGGGTGTGAGGGAACAGGAGCCCAGTGTGAACTCACGGTGTGGTCGGGTGTGAGGGCCAGGAGCCCAGTGTGAACTCACCGTGTGGTCGGGTGTGAGGGAACAGGAGCCCAGTGTGAACTCACCGTGTGGTCGGGTGTGAGGGCCAGGAGCCGAGTGAGAGTCACGGTGTGGTCGGGCGTGAGGGCCAGGAGCCCAGTGTGAACTCACCGTGTGGTCAGGCGTGAGGGCCAGGAGCCGAGTGAGAGTCACGGTGTGGTCGGGCGTGAGGGCCAGGAGCCGAGCGTCTCCAGAAGCCCCCCCAGAAGAAAGCCACCCCTCGGCCCCTGCCCGCCAGGCTCTTCATGATCTGGCCTCTCTGCGGCTCCAGCCTCGTCCACCTCAGGGCCCTTGCACTCCCCCAGCTGCTGCCCAGGGTCTCCCTCTCCTCAGGTCTGAGTTTTGGTTTGAGTTCCCTCGAAGCAGTCTAGGTCAGGGCAGCAAGAAAGGAGGAGGCAAGTCCTGGACGCACCCACAGGAGGGCGCCGGGGACAGACGCCCGCAGGCCACGCAGCCTCCTGGGACAGGGCTCCCAAGCAGCCCACTTGGGGCAGAGCTGGGAGCGGATTTCCTGCCAGCTGTGCCCCCCGTCCAGGCCTCTGGGGAAGTGAGGGCCCAAGTGGCGTGTGGCGCATTACCCAGGTCACCTCAGGTGTGAAGTGGGCCCCCCCGGGTGTGGCGCCTCCCCCAGGTCACCTCAGGTGTGAAGTGGGCCCCCCCGGGTGTGGCGCCTCCCCCAGGTCACCTCAGGTGTGAAGTGGGTCCCCCCGGGGTGTGGCGCCTCCCCCAGGTCACCTCAGGTGTGAAGTGGGTCCCCCCGGGGTGTGGCGCCTCCCCCAGGTCACCTCAGGTGTGAAGTGGGCCCTCCCGGGTGTGGCGCCTCCCCCAGGTCACCTCAGGTGTGAAGTGGGCCCCCCCGGGGTGTGGCGCCTCCCCCAGGTCACCTCAGGTGTGAAGTGGGCCCACCCGGGGTGTGGCGCCTCCCCCAGGTCACCTCAGGTGTGAAGTGGGCCCCCCGGGGTGTGGCGCCTCCCCCAGGTCACCTCAGGTGTGTAGTGGGCCCCCCGGGGTGTGGCGCCTCCCCCAGGTCACCTCAGGTGTGAAGCCGGGGCATCCAGCACAGGTGCTGGCATTGTGAGGACGGAGCAGGCGGCTGCTGGCCTGAGGACTGAGGACAGTCACGGAGACTCAAGTACCTGCGGCCTTCCTGGCCACCCCGAACCTTCCCCGCCTTCCCTGCCGTTGCTTCCATTGCTCTCGCTCCTGCCCAAGGGGTGCCCGGGGGCTGCACTCTGCACGCCAGGGCCGTGCTCTGAGCGAGGGTCTGTGCGCAGGCCTGGTGGGAACTGGCTTTTCTTTCCCAGATCCCACACCACTGTTCCGACCACAGCTGGGCCAGGTGGAGCCAGGATGCCCCCTGGAAGCTGGACGAGGCACCCTGGGAGAGGGGCAGCCGCTTCCCTGTGGGCGGTTCTGAGTGTTTACTGTCCCACGCTCACCCACCTCGTGCACGTGTGCGTGTGCTATCCCACGCTCACCTTCCTCGTGCACGTGTGCACGTGCTGTTCCACGCTCACCCGCCCTGTGCACATGTGCTGTTCCACGCTCGCCCGCCTCGTGCACGTGTGCATGTGCTGTCCCACGCTCACCCGCCTTGTAGACGTGTGCGTGTGCTGTTCCACGCTCACCCGCCTTGTGCACGTGTGCGTGTGCTGTACCACGCTCACCCACCTCGTGCACGTGTGCGTGTGCTGTCCCACGCTCACCCACCTCGTGCACGTGTGCGTGTGCTGTCCCACGCTCACCCGCCTCGTGCACGTGTGCGTGTGCTGTCCCACGCTCACTCACCTTGTAGACGTGTGTGTGTGCTGTCCCATGCTCACCCGCCTCGTGCACGTGTGCGTGTGCTGTTCCACACTCACCCGCCTCGTGCATGTGTGCGTGTGCTGTCCCACGCTCACCCGCCTTGTGCACGTGTGTGTGTGCTGTCCCACGCTCACCGCCTCGTGCACGTGTGCGTGTGCTGCTCCACGCTCACCCGCCTCGTGCACGTGTGCGTGTGCTGTCCCACGCTCACCCGCCTCGTGCACGTGTGCATGCGTGTCTGCCTCAGCTCCCTGGAAGTGAGAAGAGCTTCCCTCCAGGAAGACGTGGTCATTTTTTTCTTTTTTTACGTGAAAGGTAGAGTTAGAAAGGGACCCAGGGACCTTCCACCTGCTCGTCCACTCCCCAAGTAGCTGCAAAGCCCGGCGCCAGGAGGCAGGAGCTCCATCCGGGTCTCCCACACGGGTGCAGGGCTCAAGCACTTGGGCCAGCTTCTGCCCTTTTCCCAGGTGCCTGAGCAGGGAGCGTGACAAAGTGGAGCAGCCGGGACTCGAACCGGAGCCCACATGGGACTCCGACGTCGCAGGCAGCAGCGTCGCCTACGTTATTATTATACCACCGCGCGCCGGGGCCTCTGCCCTCTGCTGCAGTCCGTCCTGGGATGTTCTGTAGCCTGACGGGGAAGCGGAGCAACCCCGGCCTCCGCTCTTCCCGGTGCGGGGAGGTCGGCTGTCTCCGCGAGTTCAGCCCGGTGGGTGTTGCTCCGGGGGAGCGGCCCGCGCGCCGTCACCTCCGTCACCTCCGTCTGTCGCTGACTTGGCCGCAGCTCCGTGTGTTCTGCCCGGAGTAGGAAGGACGCTGTGGGCAGGTGTCTGGGAGCCCCGGGCGTTGCTGGCCGCCTGCCTGTCCGGACGGGGACTTGTTCCCCCGCCTGCCGTGTGCTGCCAGGCTGCGTGGGGGCCTCAGCTTCTGAAGTGGCCCGGGGCAGAGCAGAGGTGCGAGAACAGCGGTTTTTCGTCCTTTGTTGGGTGACCTGCTTGTTTGTCCTGTTTGGATGCCGGTGGGGTCTCCTGCTCCTCGCAGGTGGGGTCTCCTGCTCCTCGCAGGTGGGGTCTCCTTCTCCTCGCAGGTGGGGTCTCCTTCTCCTCGGGGGCGGGCAGAGCTTTGCCTGGCGGGGCTCTGAGCAGCAATTCCAGTCTGTCCTCGGCCGAGGGTGGCCGTCCTCGCGTGTGTCTCCTGAGGGTCTCTGTCGTCGGCCGAGGGTGGCCGTCCTCGCGTGTCTCCTGAGGGTCCCTGTCCTCGTCTGAGGGTGGCCGTCCTCGCGTGTGTCTCCTGAGGGTCTCTGTCCTCGTCTGAGGGTGGCCGTCCTCTTGTCTCTCCTGAGGGTCTCTGTCGTCGGCCGAGGGTGGCCATCCTCGCGCATGTCTCCTGAGGGTCTCTGTCCTCATCTGAGGGTGACCGTCCTCGCGTGTGTCTCCTGAGGGTCTCTGTCCTCGGCCGAGGGTGGCCGTCCTCACGTCTCTCCTTACGGTCTCTGTCCCGTCTTTCTGGTGTCATTCTCAGAACGAGCTGTTGGCGGCAGGGAACCCAGCCTTCCTCCATGCCCTCTGACCCCGAGGCCCTCCCCTCTCTTCCTCCCGAGTGTCTGTCTCTTGCAGAAGCCCCTTGCTCCGTGGCTGCCCCTGAGCCGCGTCCTTCCAGCCTCGTGTCCTGCTGTGGGGCCTCCTGTCCTCCAGCCTCGTGTCCTGCTGTGGGGCCTCGTGTCCTGCAGTGGGGCCTCCTGTCCTCCGGCCTCGTGTCCTGCGGTGGGGCCTCCTGTCCTCCGGCCTCGTGTCCTGCGGTGGGGCCTCCTGTCCTCCGGCCTCGTGTCCTGCGGTGGGGCCTCCTGTCCTCCGGCCTCGTGTCCTGCGGTGGGGCCTCCTGTCCTCCGGCCTCGTGTCCTGCGGTGGGGCCTCCGTGTCAGCCCGCGGCTGCGTCTCCTCCTTCCCTGCTTGTTTCGTGTCCGTCTCTGGCAGTTCTTATTTGTGCCGGTGAGCAGGTGCCGGCCACAAGAGGCTGGCCTCCTCCGTGCCACGAGGGCCGTCTTGGTCTTCTCGAAGGCCCCATGTTGGCTTTTTCTGTTTGCTGGCTGTGAACACGAGGAGGCCTTGTCAGCCCCGCGCTGCCTGCCTGCAGGCCCCCTCCCCGCGGCCGGGTGAGACTCCTCGCTGCCACCAGAGGTTAGAATCTGGTCCCTGCTGGTGAGGCCAGCACAGCGTTGCCGGGGGTGGGGTGGCCCTATTGGGGAGGGGGACCTCAGGGTTCACTGGGGGAGATGTGTCCAGGGAGAGCTGCAGGCCCCCTGGAAGCGCTTCCTGGGGTGGCCGTCCGTGTGTCCCTCTGTCCCTCTGGCAGGGGTGGCATCTCCAGGAGCCAGTGCCGCCCTCGGCTCCCCTTCCGCCCACACTACAACCAGCAGGAAGTGCCTGTGTGTCGTCGGGAGGCCGGGGACCCTTCCCAGCCGCCGCCGTGTAGCAGGAGCAGTGCCACGCTGGGCTGTAGTCAGTGCACAGAGAAGCGGCCCGGGGTGGGGTGGGGTCCCCATCTTCACAGTCAGGCTGGTCTGGAAGCCACCACCTTGCACTGTGGCTTTGGGGGAGTCACCCACCCCTGCCGGCGTGGCCATGGAAGGGGGCGCTACATCCGGGGTTACCCAGGACTGCACTGTGGCCGCCGGCACCAGCCAGGCCCCGGCTCAGCCCCCCAGGCGCTCTCTGCAGGCCTCCGATCCGTCCCCTGAGCACAGGGCAACTGCAAGTGCACGGTGCCTCGGGGACCCGGCCAGAGTCAGCGTGTCTGTCGCTGTAGGCTCTGGCTTCCCTCGGGGGCGGGAAGATTGGAAGGCAGGAGGAGGGAGCTGGGGGGTTATCTGGGTGCCGGGGGCCTCCGCCACTCCTTCCTCTGGCCACCGTCCCCAGGCCCCCATGCATCGCTGGCTTCTGGCTGGGACCGTGCTGGTCACTTTCTGGGCAGAGGTGAGGCCGCCTTCCCATTGCCTCTACCCGGCCTGCACACATCTCCATCAGGCGCTGGAACCCGCACGTTGTGGGGAGGGGGGTGAGATGCGCCCCTGCTGGGCCTGGGCCATGTGGAGCCCCACTTCCAGCCTCCTCTGCCCCGCAGCCCCTCCACCTCCGCCCTCACCTGTGGCTTCGCTGTGCCGTGATGGTCAGGATCCCTGACGCCAGTTTCCCCGCTGACCCCAGGCCCTGCCACCCGTTCCGTGGGACTCTCCGCTCCTGCCGAAGCTCCCCATCCTGGCTGGGGACGGTCCGTGTTCTTGTGTGCCCCCCACTGTCAAGCCAGGGCTGCCTGGTTCCCCTGTCTTCCTGCTGCGTGCCCATCAGCAGGCAGCCCAGTAAGCAAGAGTGGTCAGGTGTCAACACGTGGTCTGTGGAGAGAACCGCAGCGCTCTTCCGGTGCCGCCGGTGGTCGCCTGTGCGTGCTCTTTTTAACGTTTGGCACCATTCCTCTCACTCCCCAGGTTGACTCCGGAGCCCACCATGAACGGCTACGTGGAATTTGCGCCCAGCGCCGGTCACCCCCGCGTGGAGCCCCTGGACCCCCGGCCTGGTAAAGCCCCTGTCCAGGAAGACGTGGACATGAGCAGTGGCTCCAGCGGGAATGAAGCCAACGAGAACAGCTCCATGGGGCGGGAGTCTCAGGGCAGCGACTGTGACGACAGCGGCAAGGAGCTGGGCATGCTGGTGGAGCCGCCAGACGCCCGCCAGGGGTAGGTTGAGCTCGGGCCGCGCGGAGGCCGAGCGGGTCGTGGGCTTCCCTGCGTGTCGTTTCCAGGGTAGTTCAATAGTTTTGTAGCCTTCAAATCGTGCCCACCCAGAATTTTCAAGAGTTTTGAAAATGTCATTAACTTAGAATAACGAAATTTGCTAGTCTGCGCTGATAACGGTGCCGCTGCCAGTCGTGCGTCTCTGTAGGGAGAGCAGCGGGCTCCTGGCAGGCGCAGGCGTAGCCCAGCCGGCAGCTCCTGCCCACGCCGCGGCCGCTGACAGCACGAAGGCGCCGCTTTCTCCTTGCGCCTGCACTTGCCGGGCTTCGTTTTCGGAGGGCGGAGGGCGGAGGGCGGAGGGCGGAGGGCGCTGTGTTGCAGTTTTCGCTTGGCTCCCTGTAATTCGTCTCGCAGTGGGCGTTGAAGGCCTGCCCTCCCTGCTGGCCGGGGGCCTCGGCCGCTCTGAGCTGGGCCCTCCCTTGTTCCTACAGCCCAGCCGCCTTTGGCCTCACGATGGCAGAGTCTGAACACAGCCTGTGTGCCAGCGGCTGCGGGTGCGGCTGCCCCGCCCTCTCTGGGCCTGCAGAGTCACGGGGAGACTGGGAGTGCGGGGCCATTTTTCTGAGTGATGCGACTCTTGAAGCTCTGTGCGAGCCCGTTAGTCTGCACAGCTGTGTCCACGAGAGCCCGGCCGCGTGTCCCTGCAGGCTGCTCGGGGCCTTTGGACGTGGCCCCAGCTCCTGCGCCCCTCCAGGCTCCACAGGAAGCAAACCCTGCCTGAGCCTTGGGCAGCTCCACCTGGAACGTTCTTTGTCCTCTTTAGGAGTTTGTGGCCATTTTACCCTTTTGTCCACAGACCCTTTGCCGTCCCCTCCAGAGCAGACTGCAGCCCTGCGTCCTGGGCCCCGCACCACCCTGCCCCTCTGCCCCGACGGCCCTGCCGTCAGCCAGGCCCCCACTCCGTCCCCTCCCAGCCGTGCCCCCGTTCTGTCCTCTGAGCGCATGGTTTGCCTTCGTGTCCCAGGGGTTGCTGCTGTCCTCGGTAACCTGCCTCCCGCCCCATTCCCTTTCTGCGTGGGCCAGGCCAGGACAGCGCAGCGTGGAGGTGCCGTGGTGCCGTCTGTCTGCCGGCCCTTCCTGGGCGAGGTCTCACTCTAACCCTGGAAGGTCCCTTGGGTAGAGCAGGGACTTTTTTTTTTTAATAAAAGATTTATTTATTTATTTGAAAGGCAGAGTTAGAGAGAGAGAATCCATCTGGATCACTGCCTGAATGGCCACTATGGCCAGCACTGGGCCAGGCCAAAGCCAGGAGCCTGGAACTCCACCCAGGTCTCCCACGTGGGTGCAGGGGCCCAAGGATTTGGGCATCTGCTGCTGCTTTCCCAGGCCACAGCAGAGAGCAGGGTCAGGAGCAGAGCAGCCAGGACTTGAACCTGGGCCCACATGGGACGCTGGCGCTGCAGGCAGTGAACCCCGCTGTGCCGCGGCACCTGCTCCAGCACGGTGCTTCTTCACTGCCGGCGTCTGCAGACGCCGTGAGGGGGCTCCTGGCCTGCAGCAGGTGACACCGCCAAACCGCTGAGAGCCCCCAGGGCACTGCCCGGCCGCGCCTCTTTTCTGGAGGCCAGCATCTGACTGCCTCTCTCTTGAATCCCACAGCAGCCAGCAGGCTGCCAAAGCGGACGTGCACAGAGAGCTGATCAGAACGCTGAAGGAGCTGAAAGTCCACCTGCCCGCAGACAGGAAGGCCAAGGGCAAGGCCAGCACCCTGGCCACCCTGAAGTACGCCCTGCGCAGCGTGAAGCAGGTGAAAGGTACGGCGGCCGCGCACGGCCCGGGCCCTGCAGCGCGTCGTAGACCCGACTACAGCTTCTGGATCGCGGGAGGACGTGCAGGCAGTGATGCCGCCGCGGGTGGCAGGAGACCGCGGGTCCCTGGACGTCTTCCTGCTCTGGCTTTAGAGGGGACAGCAGGGTGGGAGACGCGTGTCCACAGCGTGCACCTCACGCCCAGGGTCTGCGGGGCTCTGGTAGGAGCCGTGGTGTCCGGAGGGGTCCTGGAATCAGGGGAGGTTGGTCCCTGTCCTCATGGCCTGCGGCAGGGGCCAGGCGCTGTGTGCGGCTCAGGTGGGCTGCCCACTCATCTGTCCCCGTGGCCTCCGGATCTCCGGCCCTGTGTCCCGGTGGGTGTGTGTCAGGCGGCAGGATAGGAAAGAGCTGGTGGAGCTGGTCAGTGATGAGCCAGACTAAGGCTTCACGTGAAAACACGCGTGCAGAACATGTGTGCAGGAGAACACGCGTGCAGAACTCCTGGGCCACACGGCAGCAGCCTGTGGACTCACTGCGTGACCCAAACTCGGTCACGTCCCGGCTCAGCTGCCCTCCTGCTCCTGAACCACACGATGGAGCCTCGCCCGGCTTCTGCCGCTCCTGGCGGGACCCTCCTCCTGGGTCGCGGTCAGGCAGGGGCTGTGCGTGCAGCACAGGTGGGGGCCCTGCACGGCTCCTGCGGCATCCTTAGGCCGGGAAGGGGTGCTCTACAGCGCAGGCCGCGCGTCCCCAGCCAGCGGCGGTGTGAGCAACACCCACCCTGCGTCCGTCACACACACGAAAATAGCAACAGAGACAGACCTGAAAGGCCGGGCCGAAGGCGAGACGGCGGCTTTTTCCTGCGAGCAGCCGTGGCCGTCTCGCACGGCGTAGGCGGGCTCGCGTGACGCTGCAGCCGACCGGCTCCGCGTTTCTCAGCATCTGGGCAGCTTGGGTCGCAGGGAGCAGGGGCTCTGCGCCTGTCTCCGGTCCCCTGACCGGGGGGAAGGGTGGCCATGCTGCCGCCGTGGTCGCTAGCTTTGCCCTCGGGCTTCTGTGCTCCCGTGTTCCGGGAAGAGACTCCGTGTGTCCCACTGTTCCACGGGGAGGGTGGAGTTCCAGGCCGTGGGGGTGCGTCTCGGCCTCGCCCCCTGAGCGCCAGCGCCTCTCTCCACAGCCAATGAGGAGTACTACCAGCTGCTGATGTCCAGCGAGAGCCAGCCGCGCGGGGTGGACGTGCCCTCCTACAGCGTGGAGGAGGTCGAGAGCGTCACCTCCGAGTACGTCGTGAAGAACGGGGTGAGTTCTGCGGGGGCGGAGCTTCAGGAGGAGTTTGCGCCTTTCCGAGAGGAGCAGGGTGGAGGGTCCTGGCGTGCAGCGGTGTTGGCTTCTGTCTGCGGGGAGAGTGCGTTCGCACCCCGGCCACGGCCAGCAGTTCGGGCCGTCGTGGCAAAGCTGGCCAAGACTGAGCTGGGCAAGAGTGTCGCCCTCATCCCACCCTGGCCGGGGCCAGCAGCTCGGGCCGTCACGGCAAAGCCGGCCGACTGAGCCAGGGGAGAGTATCACCCTCATCCCACCCTGGCCGGGGCCAGCAGCTCGGGCCGTCGCGGCAAAGCCAGCCGACTGAGCCAGGGGAGAGTGTCACCCTCATCCCACCCTGGCCAGGGCCAGCAGCTTGGGGCCGTCACCGCAAAGCCGGACTGAGCCAGGGGAGAGTGTCGTCCTTGTCCTGGCCAGTCGTCGTGGCCAGCAGCTACAGCTGGGGTCCAGGGGGAGGAGACGGATGGGACAGTCGTCCCCTTGTCCAGGGCCTCGTGACTGCGAGGAGGAAGCCGAGCCTAGCAGCTTCAGGCTGTGCATTTTAAGTGTCCCGCTGAAGGTGAGGCCCCGTTGGGGGAAGTGCCCCAAGTTCTGAGTCCGTGAGAGCAGACTAAGGCCGCCGGGTTCCAGCCTGTGCCAGAATCATGCCAGTGCCTCGGAAGGGGCCCAGCCCTACCCACCTGTCGCCTGCAGCTGGCCCCACGGAAGGCTCAACCCTCAGCTCAGAGGCCCAGCGGGCAGGGAGGGAGCACGCGGTGGGCTGGGGGCTACAGAGGCCTCCTGAGTCGCCGGCAGCTCCCAGACCCTGGCAGAGAGAAGGCGGCCAGGCGTGCAGCAGGGAGCCCCTGCCACCTCCCATGCCGGCCCAGCCCAGATGCCAGGAGCTTCATGGCCACGCCAGCAGCATGGCCTGCACCTGCCAGGGAGGCAGGACACCTGGGCTGCTGCTGGCAGAGGAACAGGCAGCTCCTGTCGCCGCCCACGCAGGGACCCCAGCTTCCCTCCACTGGCCGTGTTCCCCTCCCCAGGATATGTTTGCTGTGGCTGTGTCCCTGGTTACGGGCAGAATCCTGTACATCTCGGAGCAGGTCGCCTCCATCTTCCACTGCAAGAGAGACGCCTTCAGCGACGCCAAGTTCGTGGAGTTCCTGGCGCCGCACGATGTCAGCGTGTTCCACGGCTGCACGACGCCTTGCAAGCTCCCGGCCTGGAGCGCGTGCAGCCGAGGAGGTGAGGCTCTGGCGGCTGGGCCTGCGCCTGCTCCAGGGGTGGGGGTGCTTCTGACGGGCGAGCCGGGGCTGGGTGCGGCGCCGCCTCTCCTCTGCCCGCCCCACCTGTGCCCGAGAGGCCGTCAGAGGTGCAGGTGAGCAGGTGTTCGGCTCCTCGGAGTGAACGCAGGGAAGAAAGGGAAGTCTTCCGCACGTTTCGGAGGGGAGAGGTTGCGGGAAGGTGGGTGCTTTGGCAACGAAGCTGCCCCGGGACCGGCATCGTGGCGTGGCTGTGGTGAGGGGCACGGCTCCCCGCAGGTGGGTGGCTCCTCACCCCTCCGCAGCCACAGTGAGCAGGCGTGGCGCCCCCACACCGATGTCCCAAGAGCCCTTGGCCTTGGCCAGAGGCGGCCGAGTGAAGAGACCGTGAGGTCCTCTGGGCTCACGTCACCTGCTGCCCAGGATACAGGCTCAGGTCCCTCCATGCAGTGGCTGCTCCGCCTGTCGCGTCCAGCCTTTCCCTTTAACCCAGGCCCCCCCCGGTTTTTTGCCGTGGCCCCCCCCCCACCCAAAGGGGGGGTTAAAGGGGGGTGGCCCCCCCCCCCCCCCCCCCCCCGACTGCCAGACTCGGGCTAAAATCTGCTGTGGTGGTGAGTTGGGAGGCCTTTTAGGGCAGAGCAGGGTGCCAGGAGAGGTGAGCTCTCCCCTCACGGGGCTGGGTTGGCTCCCAGGAGAGCAGGCGGCTGTGTGCGAGGCTGCCCTCCTGCCCTGCCTCGTGGCCCCCGAGCGTGGCCCCCGCCTCCCGCCACAAGCTGCCGCAGCTGCCGGAGCCAGGCGGGGCTGCCGAGCCTTCGCAGCCTCTGCAGCGCTGTTCTGAGTCACCCGGCCGCGGGGACCTCGTTACAGCCACAGAAAACGACAGGACAGTGTGGGAGCAGCTTTGGAACTGGGCGGGGCCGTGGCTGGAGCAGCGGGTTAAGCGTCTCCTCGCGGTGCCGGCATCCCACATCAGAGCTCCGGTTGGAGTCCCGGCTGCTCTGCTTCTGGTCAGCTCCCTGCTGGTGCACCTGGGAAGGCAGCAGCAGATGGCCCGGTGCTAGGGCCCCTGTCACCCACGCGGGAGAGCTGGATGGCGCTCCCGACTCCTGGCTTTGGCTGGTCCACCTGTGGCTGTTGCTGGCGTTTGTGGAAGGAACCAGCAGATGGAAGATCTCTGTGTCCCTGTGTCTCTGTCACACTCCTTTTCAAATAAATAAATCTAAAAAAAAAAAAAAAAAAAAAAAAAAAGGGAAAGAAAGAGAGTGGACCCAGAGAGTTTGGAACTTCCCAAGAGCGCGTGAGCAGTTGTGACTGATACGTCACTGGACGTGGGGCCCTCGCGGGGTCCAGGAGGGCCGTTCTGAAGGGGCCTCAGAGACGAGGGCACTGTGCCCGTGAGCAGCAAGGACCCTGCTAGGATTCTGCAGAGCCCTCGGGTGCAGGGGACCGGGACACGGACGAGATAGCCGCCCAAGGGGTGCCGGTTGGGCCCCGCCCCCACACAGCAGCCTGGCTGCCCCCGGCTGATGGGTCAGAGACGACGCTCCGAGTCACGAGGAGAAGCGGAGCAGGAACATCCGGGAAGCCCGCGGCCTGGCGGAGAGCGAGAAGCAGTGGACGCCAGCACGGAGGGAAGAGAGCAGAGCTGTCGGGCGGGGCGGCCGGAGGCGTTCCTGAGACTTCGGGCTGCCCCTCCCAGCATGTGGGCCTTGAGGGCCACGATGCCCGGAGCTGCTGCCCGCCCGCCCCCAGGCGTGGCGCCCTTGTCCTCCAGCGTGAAGTCACCAGCCTTGGCACGGCCTGGGCAGTGCCAGTCCTGCAGGCAGGAGAAGGCGAGCACTGTGGGGCGTGGCTTCCTCCACGCGGATTCCCAAGGGTGTCACGGGAAGCCTGCCACAGAGACGGATTCCACAGAACCCCCACGACGCCTCGCGGAGCTCTGGCAGTGGGAAACCCCCTGGAGCCCGCACGGGTAGAGCCCCTCCCTGGCCGCGTGCCTCTCCCGCCTGGGACAGCTGCAGGCGCCTGTGTGCGACCCCCCGCGTGGCTAGGAGGTGGTGCCGGCGTTAGAGATCCTCCTCCAGCCTTAAGCCTCTGACCGATGCTGGCTCGTGTCCCGGCTGCTCCCCTCTGCTCCAGCTCGTTGCTGATGGCCTGGGAAAGCAGCAGAAGACGGGCCACCTGCTTGGGTCCTGCACCCACCAGGGAGACTTGGATGGAGTTCCAGGCTCCTGGCTTTGGACTGCCCCCCCAGCCAGTGTGACCATTTTTGCGGGTGAACCAGTGGATGGTAGATCTCTCTCCCTCTCTCTCTCTCTCTCTCTCTCTCTCTAATTCTGCCTTTCAAACAAATCAATAAACCTTTCTAAAAAGAAACACAGACTTGCAGGCTGCCTCGCTGGGTCTCACGCGTGCTGGGAGCCTGCCGCCTTTCCCGCTGCCGGCCCAGGGCGTGAGCTCCGGGCTGGACGGCCTGCTGGGCGGCGCCCAGACTGTGGGAGCCTCGTCAGGAAAGCGATCAGCGGGGTCTGGCTTGTGCTGGGGCAGCGGTGCCGCCCCGCGCCTCGCGGTCCGAGGTGGAGACTGACCCGGCTCTCTCTCGCAGATTTCACCCAGGAATGCACGGAGGAGAAGTCTTTCTTCTGCAGGGTCAGGTGAGCCCCGCGCCCCGCGTCCCTCGCTGGGGGGGGGGGGGGGGGGGCGGTGAGCCATGGCCCCTGCGGCTGTGATGAGCTACATTGTCAGTGTGGCCAGGGGCTGAGAGAGGAGGGCAGCCGTGGGGTGAGGGACCCAGGACGGCACAGACCCCAGGGTCCTGCGGTGTGCAGGTGTGCCTCTGCAGAGCCCAGCCAGTCTTCTCTCCAGGCCATTGACCCCAGGGGGCCGGGGCCTCACGTGGGGGCAGCTCCCTCCCGTCCCTGGGGGTGGGCAGTTCCCCTCCCGTCCCTGGGGGTGGGCAGCTCCCCTCCCATCCCTGGGGGTGGGCAGCTCCCCTCCCATCCCTGGGGGTGGGCAGCTCCCCTCCTGTCTCTGGGGGCGGGCAGCTCCCCTTCCTGGGGGAGGCAGCGCCCCTTCCCGTCCCAGGGGACAGCTCCCCTTCCTGGTGGGGCGGGCAGCTCCCCTCCTGTCCCTGGGGGTGGGCAGCTCCCCTCCCGTCCCTGGGGGCGGGCAGCTCCCCTCCTGTCCCTGGGGGCGGGCAGCTCCCCTCCTGTCCCTGGGGGTGGGCAGCTCCCCTCCCGTCCCTGGGGGTGGGCAGCTCCCCTCCTGTCCCTGGGGGTGGGCAGCTCCCCTCCCGTCCCTGGGGGTGGGCAGCTCCCCTCCCGTCTGCGGGTGCCCTGGAAGAAGGCAGGATGGCTTCCCGCTGTCAGCCGTTGGCCCTTGGACTCAGTGCGGGGCAGCTGGGGGACTGAGGGGCAGCCCAGGCCCAGCCCCTCCACGTGGGCTGCGTCCCGTGGGACGAGCTGGCGCCCCAGCCGGGCTTGGCGCAGCAAACGCGTTGCTTCTGTCGTGACCCCACAGCGTCGGGAAGAACCACGAGAACGAGATCCGCTACCATCCCTTCCGCATGACGCCCTACCTGGCCAAGGTGCGGGAGCGGCCCGGGGCCGAGAGCCAGCTCAGCTGCCTGCTGCTGGCAGAGAGGGTGCACTCCGGCTACGAAGGTAACGCCGCCCGCGCCAGCTGGCCCTTCCCCCAGGGCCCTGTCCACCAAGTGAGAGCAGCCCTGAGCCGGGGAGCCCGGCGCCCCGAGCCTCAGCCTCCTGGCCCCTCGGCACCAGAGCCCCAGTCTGTCAGCGCGCCTCTCGCGCCCCACCGGCCCGTGCACACCTGCACCTGGCTGGCCCTCCCGCCACGCTGCACCCCTCCAGGCAGTCGGCCTCAGCGGCTGCCGTCCTCTGCCTGCACCTGGAACCTCCCCGCCCCAACACGGAAACAGAACCCAGGTTCTTCCCCCAGTGCCGGAGGACACAGGCGCTATGCCACTTGATGGCTTCCATGTCACAGTCCCCGTGCAGACTGCTGTGTGGCCCCTCGGTCCTCACGTGGCCTCGTCGCCCTGATGGCTTCCGTGTCATAGCCCCCTCGGTCCTTGTGTGGCCTGTTACCCTGATGGCTTCCATGTCACGGCCCCCTCGGTCCTCGTGTGGCCTCGTCGCCCTGATGGCTTCCATGTCACAGTCCCCATGCAGACTGTCTGGTGGCTCCTTGGTCCTCGTCACCCTGTGTATTCTCAGAGCGGCAGCTCAGTGGTTCACGCAGTTCTGAACTCCCTGGAATCAGGTGTACCGGTGCCGGCTTACACGCAGGGACCCCTCTGGGCCATGTGCACTGTGTTTAATCTACAGTCTTTCTAGAAAGCATTTTTTTGTGTGGTGTTTGGCTCAGCAGCTTAAGCCACCGCTTGGGACACGTGCATCCTATGTCAGGGTACCTGGTTAGTCTGCTGCTCCCGGGGGAAGTGGGCGATGGCTCAAGTAGTTGGGTCCCTGCACCCATGTGGGGACCTGGATGGAGTTCCTGGCTCCTGCCTGCAGATTTGGGCAGTGAATGAGCAGATGGAAGACCTCTCTCCCTCTCTGCCTCTCTTTCTCTCTGTGTGTAACTCTTTCAAATAAATAAACAAATCTTTAAAAAAAAAATACTGATTTATTTGAAAGGCAGATTTACAGGTCTTCCATCTGCTGGCTTACTCCCCAAATGGCCACACGGCCCAACCCTGGCCGAAGCCAGGAGCCAGGAGCTGCTTTTGGTTCCCTTAAGTGGGAGTGCAGGGCCCCAAGCACTTGGGCCATCGTCCACTGCTTCCCCGGGCCATTATCAAGCAGGGGGACCGGAAGTGGATCGGCCAGGACTCAAAGCAGTGCCTGTACGGGATGCCGGCATTGGAGGCAGTGCCTGACCCACTACGCCACAGCGCCAGCCCCCTCTGCTGAGAATTTCCAATCCAAATACGTGACTCATCTTTCTACAAATAGTTCCTCTGAGACTGCTCATCTCACGCAGAAAGCATGAGGATGGCCTTCCGCTTGATTTTGCTGAGAGAAGCGTCCGCGTGGCCCCGTGCTCCTGCCAACGTGGCCCTTGCTCGTTGACGAGAGCTGCCCACAGGAGGCCGGGAGGCTGGCTGGGGCCGCCCAGCGGAGGGCCCGCTCTGCTCTCTGCGCGTGGGCGCTCTGAATTCACGGGGTGCTTTCTAGCGGGTGTAACTACGCGCGCATTTCTCAGATCAGAAATCTCTGCAAAATTCTGTCCTTTCAGCTCCTAGAATTCCTCCTGAAAAGAGAATCTTTACCACCACTCACACGCCGAATTGTTTGTTCCAGGACGTGGATGAGAGGTGAGTGTCCCTCGCTGCCGCGGGCGTGGGGAGCAGCGTGCGCTCTGCCTCTCCCATTCCCTGCTCCGTCGCCCAGCATTGTCTCGGCGTCGCTCACCTCGGCGAAGGCCCGCGAGCTTCCACGCTGACGTTAAAGCTGAGGCCCTGTTGGTTTTACTTGACCGATAATTGGTAAAACATTTGCCTGGACGCAGCCACGGGGTTACCCTAAAAGCTTCCCCGGGTGGGAAGTGTGTGCCAGGGCTCTCTGGCACAGCAGGGGTGTCTGCCAGCGGCCAGCGGTGGCACTGGAGCGGAGACGCCACTGGCAGGGTCCCCACGGAAGCCGGTCTTGCAGCCAGCGTGCCGGGGGCCGCTCCAGGAACAGGTTCCCTCCGTACCTCTGCCCACGGTGCTGGAGCAGGTGCCGTGGCCTCGTCAGTCAGCAGCAGCCACGTTCTGGGCGGGTCCCACCGTGATGTGCCCTCTCCCAGCCCCTCATAGATACAGGGAGACGTGGAGGAGGAGGCGCGGCCTCAGAGGACACGAGAGGAGGCAGGCGGGGAGGCGCTGGCGTGCAGGGCTTCCTGAGAGGGGGCCGCTGCGGGGATAAGTCTCCCCCAGTGTCTGCAGCGGGCCAGGGACACCAGGTCCCAGCCTGCTGGGGAGGGCCGTTCTGGGCAGCCGGTGCGCCCCACTGATGCCTGCGGCAGAGGTGAGCCGGTCTCAGGATGCGGCTTCCTGGGCCCCGTCTCTGCCAAGCAGGGGTCACGGGCAGCGGGGCTTGGGAGCTGTGTTCGTAGGGCAGCCCCGGGGCCTCGTGTTCCTGCAGAGCAGGGCGTTGGCGGGAGGTGCACGTGGCACTGCACACCAGGGCTGCTGCCCCTCCTCCGGCCAAGCCTTGACCTGGGAGGGCGCCAGGGGCACTGCGTCCATTCTGTCCAGAGGAGAGCGTGAGGTCTGCAGAGCGTGCCTCAGACAAGGAGGAGAAAACCCGCCTCGGGCAAGGCCCACGCCGTGGGGGTGGGGAAGCAGGAGTAGCCGTGGATTCGCGGAGGCGGAGGGGGAGCGGGTGACCGTGGCAGAGGAGGCACAGCAGCACAGAGCCCGGGCCCCAGGCGTGACGGCGACAGCTGGAGGAGCCAGCCTGCACGCGTGGCCAGAGCAGTGATGGAGGGGTGGGTGAGCTGGGCAGGAGGCAGGATCTAAGCAGGCATCAGGCGAGGCCGCACCTGCCCAAGGCTGTCACTCACGTGAGAAGGGGAGGGTCTTGGAGGGAGAAGAGCAGGTGCTGCCCGGCTTCACTGCCCCGGCTGAGGCCCCGCCCCGACCGCGGGCACGCTGGGAGTCTGCCTGCCTTTACCAGGTGCGGGAGGTGGCGCCCGCCCGGGCTGACGAGCGCTCTCCCCCCCGCAGGGCGGTGCCCCTCCTGGGCTACTTACCCCAGGACCTGATCGAGAGCCCTGTGCTGCTGCAGCTGCACCCCAGCGACAGGCCGCTGATGCTCACCATCCACAAAAAGAGTAGGTCCGCCAGCGTGTGCCGGAAGCCAGCGTGCTGTGTGGGCCCTCGCGGGGACCCGTGTGCACCCAGCGCCAGCGGGTCCCGCACGGAGGCGGGAGTGGCCGACTGGAGTCCTTCATGGCAGCCCGTGACTCTGCCCTTGGTGTTGACCGCAGGGCCTGGGAGGTGCTGACAGGTGTCCCCCGGCAAGCCCAGCCCTGCACACCCGGTGACCCCAGAGGTCCCTGACCTCCGGGCGTGTGCATCCTCTGCCGGAAGCAGCCCCTCCTTTTAAAGCAAACAGCTCAACGTTCGTTTCTGCACAGCCAGCGCGTTGGCTCCGCCGGGTGCCTTGACAGCTGCCCTCTCAGTCCTGCAGGCCGGCGGGCAGCCCTTCGACTACTCGCCCATTCGGTTCCGGGCCCGGAACGGCGAGTACATCACGCTGGACACCAGCTGGTCCAGCTTCATCAACCCGTGGAGCAGGAGGGTCTCCTTCATCATCGGGAGGCACAAAGTCAGGGTGTGAGTGCTCCCAGGCCCCCGGGCTGGGCCACCCAGGGGCGCCCCGGGTCATCCTCACTTCCCACCAGCAGGTGGCGCAGGAGGGCGCTCTGTAGGGGAGCCCGGGGCAGGCTGATAGGTGCGGGTGACCCGCCTCCAGGTGGGAGGGGCCTCGTTCCTGCAGAGTGGGGAGCAGGTAGGGGGTGGCGGGGGGGGGGGGCTGCAGGGAGGAGGGGAGGCGCCGGCATGCAGCGGTCAGAGGGGCCTCCAGCGAGAGCTCTAACAAGCAAACAAACGGCGCAGGGGTCCCCTGAATGAGGACGTGTTCACGGCCCACCCGTGTGCAGAGGAGAAGGCCCCTCACCCTGGCGTTCAGGAGCTCACGGAGCAGATCCATCGGCTGCTGCTGCAGGTGCGTGTGCCCCGCACCAGACAGCCACCCTCGTCCCGACGCCCTCCAGAGCGCGTCGGCTCTGCCCAGCCCTGGCTCCCGACTGCTGGCCTGGCGCCAGTTGTCCGGGGATGCGCCTGAGGCCCGTGGGGCACAGCCTGCCCCAGCCCCGGCGCCCTGCTTCCCAGCCTGTGTTCAGGCCCCCACACCTGAGCTGCAGCCCGGAGGAAGCCTCTCGCCCCAACTCAGCCCCCACAGGCCCCACCAAGCTTCCATGGTGCCGGCCCTGGGGCCCCAGCCACATGGGCTGTGGCACAGCTGTGGTGGCACCGTGTGTGGTTTTAAAGCCTGGGAGAGAACTGAGCTGCCTAGCCGTGTGCTGATGATCAGGTTAAACAAACGCCCCATTGGGCACCTCCTTGGTGACTGTGCCCGGGACAGGGCACTGCCAGTGAGGCCGGAGGTCCATCTGCGGAGCAGGACCCCAGGCTTCAGACTCCACCCCCATCCTCACCCCTGCCACGCTCCGCAGACCAGCACGCACCTGCTCCACGTGAGTGTGTGGGCGTGGTGCCAGCCCCCCGCCGCCATGGCCACAGCTCTGTGTACTGTCCCCGCAGCCTGTCCCCCACAGTGGCTCCAGTGGCTACGGGAGCCTGGGCAGCAACGGGTCCCAGGAGCACCTGCTGAGCCACACCTCCTCCAGCGACAGCAATGGCCACGAGGACTCTCGGCAGAGGAGGCCCGTATGTCCCCTGTGCCCTTCTCCCTGGGGAGAGGTCTAGGAGTACGGGGGAGGTGGACTGTGGGCAGCGAGCGAGGGCCGCATGGCCCCTGCGGTCCGTGCCTCCGTGAGCCCGGTGAGTGGCCGCACCTGGGACCACAGGGGCGCGGAAGAAACAGGCGAGCGGGCGGGGGTGGGGAGGGGCCCCGGGGGCCGCTCACTCGGCCGCCCCCCCTCCTGGCTGGAGCTGTGCCCCTCGACCGCCAGCCACAGCGCGTGTCTCCGTCACGGGGCGTCTCAGCGGCTGTTCCCGCCGAGGGGCAGGCTAGGGAGGGACTAACGTGCCCACTTGTTCTTCAAGGAGATCTGCAAGACTGACAAGGCCAAAGCCAGAGGCCACCATTCTCACGGGCCTGGAGAGCAAAAGAAAACGTGTGTTCCAGGTAACAGACAGGAGTCCCCGCATTTCCCCAACAAAACTGGCATCTGGCAGGGTGAGGGGGGCCGGGCCCCTGCGCGCGGGGGCAGGTGTCGGCCGCTCAGCTGTGGGCCGCGGCCCCGTCCCGGCTCAGCAGGGCCGACAGAGGCACGCTGACTTCGCGGGGAGGCCTGGCCCCCGGGACCCAGCCTGCCGAGAGTGCCCAGGGCTCTGTGGCCGTGTGCGCACGCCTGCTGAGCGCACAGACGCCCACACAGGTGCCACCTGTCCCACACACGCGTGGGATGAACCTGTCTGCAGTGCACAGCGTGGGCTCTGGGCCTGGCTCAGCCACTCAGGTGCGCCCTGCAGCGCGGAAGCTGTCGGCCTACACACACACGCACAGGCCTGCACATACACCAACACACACAGGCCTGCACACACCCACATACACAGGCATGTACACACAACCACATACACACACAGGCGTCCACACACACCCATATATACACACAGGCATGTGCACACACCCACACTCACAGGCATGGGCGCACACACCCACATACACACAGGTGTGTACACACACACACAGGCATGGGCACACACACCCACATACACACAGGTGTGCACACACACACACTCACAGGCATGGGCACACACACCCACATACATAGGCACGCAGACACACCCACATACACACCTGCAAACACACAGACATGGGCACACACCCACGTACACAAGGCACACACACGTACCCATATACACAGTCATAGGCACACACATCCATGTATATAAGGCACACACATGCACCCATGTGCACACAGGCATGGGCACACACCCATGTACACAGACACGGGCACACACCCATGTACACAGACACGGGCACACACCCACATACACAAGGCACACACATGCACCCGTGTACCCACAGGCATGCACACATGCATGTGCGCAGACCTCTGACCTGGGGGAGTGGAGACCCGGAGCCCATACTCTGGCCTGCCGTGTGTTTCTCCTTGGCCACCGTCACCAGGGTTCTTGGCCTATGGGGCGTGCTGGTGGCCGCACTGAGTGTCGCGTGCAGGACACGGCTGTCACTCGAGGGCTCTGAGGGAAACAAGGGAGTCAGGCCAGGAGCAGAACAGAACCCGCAGCACGCCGTCCTGGGGGCCACGGAGGTTACGGTCGCCCACCCCGAGGGGCGCGTTTGAGAACATGGGCGTGCGCAGGAGGGCTTAGGCACCGGGGTCCGTCCTCGGGGAGGAGGATGAGACGCAAGGGGCGCTTCGTCGCCTTCCAGACCTGCAGAGTGGTCATGCGGCCCAGGAGAGAGCGGTGCCCGCTGCCGAGGACAGCTCAGCGGACAGCGCGTCCCGGGCGGGCTTCCCCGAGGAGCTGGCCTGCAGGCCCCAGCCCGCCTGCTCCTACCAGCAGATCAGCTGCCTGGACGGCGTCATCAGGTACGCGGGGTCTCCCTCCGCGGCGCCTCCCTCCGCGGCGCGGCGGCCGCTCCCCCGCCCCTTAGTGACGCCTCCTGGTCGTCCGTCCGCCCGCGCAGGTACCTGGAGAGCTGCAGTGAGGCCGCCACGCTGAAGAGGAAGTGCGAGTTCCCCGCGAACATCGCCACCCGCAAGACCACGGTCAGCCCCGGGCTGCACGCCACAGGTATCCGGTGGCCTCGAGCCGTGGGTGTGCGGTAGTAACAGCTCCAGCCGTGGCCTCAGCCGTCATCCAGGTCCCCAAGTGCCCTTCTCGCCTCCCGTGGCTCCCAGTGACCGCCGGGGCACAGGTTGGGTAGAGGCCTTCTCAGACAACCAAAGCAGTTCAGTCAGGAACTGGAGACGGGGCTTGTGGGCTCGGAGGAGGAGCCCTCGGGCCTCCCCCGTGCCCAGCCCCACACCGCGCTGCTCTCGAGCCCCAGCTGGGCTCACGAATGTCATGAGTGCTGCCGATGGCCTTGCCAGCACCAGAGACGAGGAGTCCCAGTCCTGAAGGGGGCACGGCACTGGCCTGGTGCAGGGGGTCCCAGTGCTGAAGGGGGCACGGGCACTGGCCTGGTGCAGGGCGTCCCAGTCCTGAAGGGGGCACGGGCACTGGCCTGGTGCAGGGGGTCCCAGTCCTGAAGGGGGATGGCACTGGCCTGGTGCAGGGCGTCCCAGTCCTGAAGGGGGCACGGGCACTGGCCTGGTGCAGGGCGTCCCAGTGCTGATGGGAGCACGGGCACTGGCCTGGTGCATGAGGTCCCAGTCCTGAAGGGGGCACGGGCACTGGCCTGGTGCAGGGCGTCCCAGTGCTGAAGGGGGCACGGGCACTGGCCTGGTGCAGGGGGTCCCAGTGCTGATGGGGGCACGGCACTGGCCTGGTGCAGGGGGTCCCAGTCCTGAAGGGGGCACGGGCACTGGCCTCGTACAGCGACTGGCCAGTCTGCCCTCACCCACCGGGAGGTGGGCAGGTGGGTGCTGGCACTGCCCAGGCCTGCTTGTGTCTGGGGCTCATGTGCCGTGGGGCCGCATCACAGCCTGACGTGACCGTGCTCCGTGGGCTCCGTTCTCCCACACAGAGGCTGCGTCGCCCCCCGAGGTGAACAGCCACGCGGAGGTCAGCGCTCACCTGAGCTCGCTGGCGCTGCCCAGCAAGGCGGAGAGCGTGGTGTCCCTCACCAGCCAGTGCAGCTACAGCAGCACCATCGTGCACGTCGGGGACAAGAAGCCGCAGCCCGAGCTAGGTGAGCCGTGGCTCCCAGACAAAGCAGGTGTCCGCAGCCCGAGCTAGGTGAGCCGTGGCTCCCAGACAAAGCAGGTGTCCGCAGCCCGAGCTAGGTGAGCCGTGGCTCCCAGACAAAGCAGGTGTCCGCAGCCCGAGCTAGGTGAGCCGTGGCTCCCAGACAAAGCAGGTGTCCGCAGCCCGAGCTAGGTGAGCCGTGGCTCCCAGACAAAGCAGGTGTCCGCAGCCCGAGCTAGGTGAGCCGTGGCTCCCAGACAAAGCAGGTGTCCGCAGCCCGAGCTAGGTGAGCCGTGGCTCCCAGACAAAGCAGGTGTCTGCAGCCCGAGCTAGGTGAGCCGTGGCTCCCAGACAAAGCAGGTGTCTGCAGCCCGAGCTAGGTGAGCCGTGGCTCCCAGACAAAGCAGGTGTCTGCTGTCTCGTTTCTTTATCTAAGTGCGAAGATCTCTACCATAGCTGGGTAAGGTATGGGGGACCCAGGAACCCCAGAAGCGTAACATGTAGGGACGGGGCCGTGGCGCCCCTGGTGGCGGCCGTCTGCTCGTGCTGAAGCAGAAGGGTGGACGGTGAGGCCCCCACCTCCCCCCATGCCTAGGGCAAGGCCAGGAGCAGCCCAGGGTCAGGTGTGAGTAAAGCAAATCCTGAGTTTGTTCCTCCCTGGGAGAGGGAGCTGGTGAGGGGACGTGTCCACGTCAGAAACTCAGTCCAGCGCCCCACCCCCACCCTGCTGCTGTCCCATCCGCCCCCCACTGAGCGTGGTCTCCCCACTGGCCCAGAAAGACGCAGGCGCCTTGGCCTGCCGCGTGCTGGCAGCCCGTCCCGGAGGAGGGCCGGGGCTTCCCGCCGCCCCTTCCTGCCCTGTTCCCATCCTCGCCCTGAGCACGCCCGTTCTCCACGTTCACGCGAGTGGTGGGCGTCGAAGGGCCTGGGTCTTGTGTTGCAGAGACGGTGGAAGACGCTGCGAGTGGGCCCGAGTCCCTGGACTGGCTGGCGGGCCCCGGGCTGCCCTGCGGCCTCAGCCAGGAGAGGGAGCCCTTCAAGCCGCTGGGCCTCACCAAGGAAGTGCTGGCCGCGCACACGCAAAAGAAAGGCAGGAGTTTCCTCACAAGGCCCAGGGACGGGGGGCGTCTGGGCTTCCCCCATTCCCCCTGCCACCATTCCCGCCAGGAGCCTCCAAAGGGGCGGTCCGGGGAACGAGGTGCGCCAAATTTCGGAGTAAAATCCCCCTTTTAAAAAAGATTCATCTACTTACTCAAAAAGCAGAGTTACGGGGGGGGGGGGGGGGGGAGCTGTCTTCCATCCGCTCGTTCACTCCCCTAACGGTGGGGGCTGGGCCAGCCCGAAGCCAGGAGCCAAGAACATCATCTGGTCTCCCATGTGGGTGCAGGGACCCAAGTACTCGGGCCATCTCCCCCTGCCTTCCCTGGCCATCAGCAGGGAGCCGGGTCACAGTGCAGCAGCTGGGGCCGCCCAGGGCTCCCATGGGGACGCTGGCACCGCAGGCGGCGGCCTGACCCGCTGCGCCACATGCCAGGCCCAGGTGCCAGTTTCAAACTGTCTGAGGCGTCCCCCCCATCAGAAGCACACCTGTCTGAGCGGCTGTCACGCGGTCTGTTCTGCAGCACTGCACGCCGGGGCCCACACGTCGGGGCGAGTCCCACGTCCCAGGCCGTGGTGCTCTGGACAGTGGCTGCAGCCCAGGTGACGGCGTGGGGGCCTCAGAGAACCGGCCGATTAGCCCCGAAAGAGCCTGTGCCGAGGGAGCCGCTGGGCCCCAAGCGAGGCCCTGCCCTCCTGGGCAGCCTGGCCTGGCGCTGGGTGCTCCCCCCGCCTTGGGCAGCGCCTGTGGGGCGTGACGCTGCACCTCAGGCTGGAGCCAGCTTCTTCACTTTGCTTTCTGGTCCAGGAGCCCACTTGTGACCCAGCCACCGCCCACACCCACAGACAGCACCTGCCCCGCCGCGGGCCTGTGGCCCCGGGGTCTGCACTAGTGAGCCCAGGAGACGCCCCTCCCCCGAGGACCTGGCTGTCCCAGGATGAGAGCAGGGGGTGCCTGCACCCTCCAGCTGAGGCGTCTGCTCCAGCGTTGCTGCCGGGAACCCCGGTGGAGCTTAGAAGAAGGCCCCCTCCCCCGTGGGCAGCCAATGCAGAGCCCCTGCTTCCCCTAGCACCAGAACCGCGCTGTCCAGGCCTGCGTGGCCGTCAGCCCAGGGCCTTAGCCAGCAGCCCCGCGACACGGGTTTCCCGCGGGAAGGACTCCAGGCCGAGGGCCGGAACCGCAGGACCGCCACCCTCTTGGCAGCTCGCCTTGCGCTGGCCATCACAGCTACTGTAGGAGCCCCACGTGCCGGGACCGTCCCGGGGGCAGTGGTTCACAGCCAGAGGCCCCTCTGCCTGGGCTGGTCCGGGCATCCCCGCAGTGCTGTGGAGGCGGGAGCACACCGCCCCCCACCTCCCGGCCACCTGCCTTCGGCTATGTTTAAGGAGCCGCCGTGGTAAAGTTGGTAAAACTAGAAAATGAGAAGGCGGTCAGCAGCTGGGCCCGCAAGCTGTCAGGCTCGGCCCCCCCTCCGCCATGTTCTCCCTTCACCGAGGTCAGGAGTGCCGAGGTGGCCGAGGCGGCCCTGGGCTAGCCTGGGACGCGGAACTCCGGGTCTCCCGGAGCTGGTGGAGTGGGAATCGGCCTGGGGATGTTCACTCTGGTGGTTCCTCCACCTTGTAGCCTCCCCCGGACTAAGGAACGCTTCGGGAATAGACTCGTCTTGGAAAAAAGCCGGAAAGAACAGGAAACTGAAGTGTAAACGGGCCAAGCCCCGGGACTCGTCCGAGAGCACAGGGTCTGGGGGGCCTGCGCCCCCGCGACCGCCACTCGTGGGCCTCAACGCCACTGCCTGGTCCCCCTCGGCCACATCCCAGTCCAGCTGTCCTGCCGTGCCCGCCTACTCCCTGCCCGTGTTCCCGGCGCCCATGGCTCCGCACGCCAGCCTTACGGTGCCCACCGTGCCTCTGGACGCCCAGTACCAGCTCGCAGTGCAGGCCCCGCTGGCCCCCGTCATGGCCCTCGTGCTCCCCAGCCATCCCCTCTCTCTGCCCCAGGCCTTCTTCCCCAGCCACGCCGTACTCCAGTCCCCGGCGGCCCCTGCCTCACAGCCGGAGTTTGCCAGGCCGCCATGTGCTTGTCCGGCCACCCCAGCCACGCCTCCATTGGCCTCCGGGGCGGGGGGCAGGGCCTCCCCCCCGCTGTTCCAGTCCCGCGGCAGCTCACCCCTGCAGCTCAACCTGCTGCAGCTGGAAGAGGCCCCCGAGGGTGGTGTGGGGGCCACAGGGACCCCAGGGACAGCTGCCACGGGGCCCGACTGCAAGCCTGCGACGTCTCGGGACCGGCAGCTGAAGGCACCTCCAGCCGTAAGCATTTCCTGATGCTCTTTGCTCCCGGGCTGGCATGGCTGCTCTTAGACCCCCGAGCTTTCCACCAAGCCATGCGTGCCGTTTACCCGACCGCGTCGGAGAGGGCTCCGCGCACCTTGCAACAGCTCGTGGTGGGTGCAGAGCCCAAGTGGCCATGTGGGGGCTTGTGGGGGATACCTAGGTCCCCCACCCCCATCTGTGAGCTCAGAGCCAGGCATCCTGCTGGCTCCCTGGAGTGCGGTGGCAAAGCGGCCCAGGTGTCCGTGCAGAGGAGGAAGGGGCGGCCGGGGCCTTCTGCACCCCGAAGCCGGTGACACCGTTTCCACCCAGGGCCTTGAGGGTGCGGCTGGCGAGTCTGGCTCAGCCCCGAAGCTGTGGTTTTATTCCCACAAGGCACAGGGACGTCAGTCTGTAGGGCCTGCAGGCGGGTGCAGTCTTAAGGGCCTGGGCTCCTGGACCCAGGGTGGACCCTGGCATGTCTCCCCATCCAGCTGCCAGCTCCTCAGCCCTGGTCCCGGGTCCTGGGCCGACAGTCCCAGGGCCAAAGATGCGAGGGTCAGGGGCTCTCCCCGGGCCAAGCCCCTCCCTCTTTCCACCCACTGTGAGGAGGGGCCTCTGGGGACTGCAGAAGCCGTCTCCCTGCACCACCCCCACGAGCCTGGGTGCCCTCTGCTCACCAGGCCCCTTCCTTGACTTGTGTCCCGGGAGGACCTGGTGCGTGCCCCGCCCCCGTGTGCCGTGTCATTGCGGGGCCCCGACTGCAGTGTCGCTCTGTCCCCGAAGCAGGAGGAGCCCTCGGACACCCCGAACAGCGACGCCCTCTCCACGTCCAGCGACCTGCTCGACCTCCTGCTCAACGACGCCCTGGGCTCGGCCGCGGGCTCTGCCCTGTCCGGGAGCAGCGCCTCGGACTCACTGGGCTGCGACGCCTCCCGGAGCGGGGCAGGTGTGTGGTGCTGGGGGCGGCAGGGGCGAGGCCGGCGCCCGTGCTCGGGTCGGGTGTGGCCCTGGGCGGCCAAGCAGCCCACGCCTGCGGCTCCGTCGGAATTCCACATCCTCCCTGTTCACTTCCCGCCAGCCCCGGGGCCCAGGCCCTCCCTCGGCCTCCCAGGCGGTGGTCCCCCCTCCTGAGTGAGCTGCGTGTGGGTGAGGACCGCCGTGCGCCCTCACTGACCAGCAGCTGCCAGGCGGCTCTGAAGCCCCCGGAGGCGCCCACCGCCCTCCCGGCCGCCTCCCCCTCTGTGCTCTGTGCACGGGGACCACGGACAGTGCACTTGGCCAGACCCGGCTGTCTCTGCAGGCGCTCGTGGACGTCCGCGTTGCGGTTCCCGGGGCTCTGTCGGGAGCCCCAGCCGGGACCCCGGGCCAGGGCTGACCTGCCGCCGCTCGGTGTCTTAAAGGCAGCAGTGACACGAGCCGGAGCAGCAGGTATTTCGGCAGCATCGACTCCTCCGAGAATAACCACAGGGCAGCGAGGCCCCCGCGGCTGGGGGCCGGCGAGCAGCTCCTCAGGTGCGTCCTGCAGGACCCCCTCTGGCTGCTGATGGCCGACACGGACGACAGCGTCATGATGACCTACCAGCTGCCCGCCCGGTAACCACTCAGCCCCTGCTGGGGGCGCGGGGAGGGCTGGGGTTCACATCCCCCAGACAGGGGCGGCCAGCGGGGTGCCCTGCCCTCTGAGAGCCCTGCCTTAGAGCTGGGGAGGGGCAGAGAGTGGGCCCTGGGCCGGCCTGGCCCTGTGAGCTGGAGCCTGGCGTGGCTGCCTGCAGCCTGTGAGGAAGGTAGGCCTCGGTCCCCCTCGGGGCCTCACGTGAACTGCTCTGAGGGCTTCGTTCCAGCGTCTCTTGCGTGCTGCTGCCGGGGAGCCCGTGGGGCGAATGGGGGGGGGGTCTGTCTGTGCAGGGCCGAAGAGGCCGGATCACAGCTGTCGGAGGCTCTGTGCCCAGGCTGTGTCTGCGTCAGGCCACCCTGTAGAGCTGGACGTGGGTCCTGTCCTTAGCGCAGCCCCTGCAAGGGGAGCTGGGAGGGAACCCAGGACGGCAGGGAGGCGGGGCCCAGGGTCCCCAGTGCCCTGCGCCAGGACCTCCCAGGTCCGCCCGGCCCGTGCAGAACCCCTGCACCTGCCGGCACCGGCTCCCGTGCTGAGCTTGGAGTAAACTAAAATCCTGACCTGGGCTCCCGTGCCCGCAGTCACCCGCCGGGAGGTTAAGGGTCCTGCAGCAGGGTGGTCTCTGTGGCTCTGAACAAAGCCGTCTGAGGCTGCGTTACTCAGACTGGAGAAGTCCGCACAAGATGAAAGACTGGAGCCCCAGACGCTGCACACTTGTGTCCTGCAGGGACGCGGACACGGTTCTGAAGGAGGACAGAGAGCAGCTGAGGCTGCTGCAGAAGTCCCAGCCGTGGCTCACCGAGGGCCAGAGGCAGGAGCTGCACGAGGTCCACCCGTGGGTGCAGACGGGCGGCCTGCCTGCGGCGCTGGACGTGGCGGTAAGCTCGCAGCGCCCCCTGCTGGCCCGAGCTCTCGGTACTGGCTCTGCGGCTTCCCTGGGACCATAAACTTGTGAAATTGAGTTACTCTTTAGGGAAAGAGGTCATTTCCAAAGAGGTTTAAATATCTAATCTATCTCACGGAAAGCGGTTTTCCCCCTTATCAATTCTGGTTCCTGTTTCAAGAACAAAAAGGAAAACAAGTGCAGCAGGCTTGTTGTCAGCCCTGGCAGCCACGCCGGTCCCGCCCCCACCCCTCCAGCTGCCCTGCAGGGCTCTGTTCCTCCTGGCCGCTCCTGGGCCGTTTCATAGCTGGCGCCAGGCGTCCTCTGTCCCCTTCCTGTGCCTGCAGCAGCCCCAGCAGGGCCAGCCCTCTCCGGGGCACCCCCTCGCTGGCTTCCTGCTTGCCCGCTGGCTCCCATCTGCTTCCCTCGGGGACCCTGGCCTACACCCCTCACATGCTGTTGCCCGCTGCCTGCGCACACACACTCTGCAGTCCAGCCAGACTCGCGCTCCCCAGGACCCTCAGAGAAGATGGGCTGTACCCAGCCCCTCCCCCACGCACTCGGGGGGCTCCGTTCCACAGCTGCTCAGGCCCCAAGCTTTGGAGCACCCTCAGCTCCTCTTGCACCCCATGGAGGCCATCAGCAGATCCTGTGGACTTGACCTTCAGGGTGGACAGGACTGGCTGCTTCATCACCTCCGGCCCCTCCCAGCCGCCCCCATCTGATCAGTTCTGTGTGCCGCTCCCTCTCCTGTCTCACCTCCCCTTCCCTCCCCCTCCCAGCTGCTCCTGGAGCCACTGCGGCCTCCAGCTGCCCCTCTGTGCAGTGAGAACCTCTCAGAACTCTCCCTCCACATGGGCGCGTGGCTCCGTCTGCTGCCCGGGCCACCCTCTGTGTTCTCGCTGTGTCGCCCCTGACCCCACAGCCTGGTGGCGCCTGGCAGTCGCATCTGTGTTGTCTGGCGTGGGCTCTGTGGGTCAGGAATTCTAGATCAAGTCCCCTGAGGTTGCAGACAGGAGAGTGGCCCAGGCTCCCGTCCCTCTCCCAGGCCGTGGAGCCCGTGCTGCTGTGGGCAGGAGACGGCTGCTCCTCACACGGAACCTCCCGCAGTGCCCGGGTGTCCCCTCACACGGGAAGCTGCACTGTGCTGTGCCTCTGAGCCGTCAGAGAAGCCAGCGTGTGGTTAGAGCCGCACTCCCGGGCAGGGGAGGGGCACAGGGCCCTGCTGTGTGATTCCTGGTCCCGCCCCACCCCACAGGCGAGGCGTGGGCAGCAGCCTCGGGGACCCGGTCACTGCGCCTCCCTCGTCTGCTAACGAGGATCTCGTGTTGTGCTGCCCTGCTTTTCAGGAATGTGTTTACTGCGCGAACAAGGACAGGGGCAGCTTGTGCCCGCCGTGCGAGGAAGACGCTGGCCCTGGGGGCCTCGGCGAGGAGGAGGAGGAGGGGCCCGCCCCGAGCCAGGCGCGGGAAGGACAAACATAGCTCCTGGTGCCCGCCAGCCCCACGGCCAGTGACCTCCGCGAGACGGGGCCTGCGGGACAGGGCGGGCCCCACGTCTGCTTCCGCTGCAGGGACAGACTGTGTCATGTAGCTTTGTGAAAGGGGCTGGGAGCGTTTGTGCTCCAGCGCGGGCCCGGGTCCGAGGCTGAGAGGGTGGCCCCGGGCAGGCGTCAGAGACCGCGATGAGGACCTCTGGCCTGAGACTTCGTGCCAGGCTGGGGCGAGCAGCCAGGAAGCTGCCTTGTGTGGCTCTCAGCTGCGGCTTCCAGAACTTTCCTAGGGTGTTTGATCACGTCCGCCTGTGCCCTGCCCTGCAGGCTGCTTTGCATCGAAACCCTCATTCAGTCAAGCTTGATCCCCCACCCCCCAAGTGGAGACATCACGCCCCCGGCCCCCCCAGCAGCTCCGGCTTCCGCGTGCCGCAGGGAGAAGGGGTTCAGCCTGGCCTTCGCTTGTTAGCGGTGGTCTCAGAGCTGGTGGCTGTGTGCCCAACCCATCCAGGTACCCCCGGCCCCTGGATGGCTCCACCTCGTTCAGACCACGTCGGACCATACGTTGCCGGTCGTCTCCTTAGCGCGACCTCTGTACAAACCAGGCTGGCCCAGGTGAGCAGATGCAAGGCAGGGCCGCAGGCTGCCGTCGCCCACCCGGGCCGGGGGCCTGGCTGCGGGGGTGCTCACGTGCCTGCCGGGGACTGATCTGACGCTCGGCTAGAGTGACGCCAGCTGGCCCGGCTTTTCACAAAGCCTCACGTTGCATCGCGTTTCCCAAAGACTGGGAAGATGTCTTACCGGTCCCGTGTGGATGAGGCACCAGTGACAGAGCAGGTGCCGTGAGACTGGACCAAGGCTGTGACGCTCAGCGGAGAGCAGCGCAGGGGTCCGACGAGAGAGGTGCCGTCTGCTCGCCTTCCAGTCGCTTTCCACCGTCACGCCGGAACATTAACCCGGTTTCCCGGAACCACGGGAACTCTGCACTCGCCCAGGAGGCAGTAGTCTGACCTCTGCACACAGGCCACGGCCGGGATGGTTTAAGGTTGCATCCACGTTACCTAAACACGGAGCTGCCAAACCCTCGTTCTACCTTAAGACGTTTGCCGTCAGCATCCGCTCCGTCAGGCTGTGCTCAGCGGCTGTCAGCTGCCGCCCTGCAGTGACTTCTAGCATCGCTTCGTGATTTGTTTACACGGTGCCCAGCGCCGAGCCCTGTTTCTGTAGTGCGTGTGCCCCACGTCTCTGTTTGAACTGAGCCTTCCTTCAGTGTATTCCTGGGGAGATCAGAGGCGCTCCCGAGTTCGTGTGACGATCTGTTGAGCCTCGCGGACAAGTGGTTTGTTCCCGCACAAACCAAACCTTCGTCCCCTAGTGCAATATATTTGTGTGACTGCTTGTGTCTTTTTAAGACTCTTTGGCCTTTTAGAAAATCGGTAAATAAAGCGAGTATATTTTTATTTTCAGTTGTGTCTTTTTAGTGTGGCACAGAGGGAAAATCTGGAGAGATCAAAGCTTGTCCAAAGATTGCTTTAAAGAAGATGCGCGGGCCTCGTGTGGCCTCTCATAGTCTGGCTGCGTCCCCCACGAGGCCCCCCGTCCACTCCCAGCTCCCCCCATGTCCTCCACGCGGCTGGCTGGTCACACCCAGCTCCCCCCATGTCCCCCACGCGGCCAGCAGTTCACTCCCAGCTCCCCCCATGTCCCCCACGCAACCCCCGTCCACTCCCAGCTCCCCCCATGTCCCCCACATGGCCAGCAGTTCACTCCCAGCTCCCCCCATGTCCCCCACGCAACCCCCGTCCACTCCCAGCTCCCCCCATGTCCCCCATGCGGCCCCCCGTCCACTCCCAGCTCCCCCTGCATCCCCCAAGCGGCCGGCAGTTGACTCCCAGCTCCCCCCATGTCCCCCACACGGCCCTCCATTTACTCCCAGCTCCCCCCATGTTCCCCACGCAGCCCCCCGTCCACTCCCAGCTCCCCCCATGTCCCCCACGCAGCCCCCCGTCCACTCCCAGCTCCCCCCATGTCCCCCACGCAGCCGGCTGGTCACTCCCAGCTCCCCCCATGTCCCCCACGCAGCCCCCCGTCCACTCCCAGCTCCCCCCATGTCCCCCACGCGGCCGGCTGGTCACACCCAGCTCCCCCCACGTCCCCCACACGGCCCCCCGTCCACTCCCAGCTCCTCCCGCATCCCCCACATGGCCTCCCGTCCACTCCCAGCTCCCCCTGCATCCCCCACGTGGCCGGCTGGTCACACCCAGCTCCCCCCACATCCCCCACACGGCTGGCAGTTCACTCCCAGCTCCCCGCACGTCCCCCACGCGGCCCCCCGTTCACTCCCAGCTCACCCACCTGCTTAAGCTGTGCACTTGCAGATACAGGGGTGCAGCCGCCTGGCTTCCCTGCCCCAGCTCCCCTCCACTCTGCTGTGGCCCCAGGCACCCACGCTGGCCTCCCCATCACAGGCACGCAGCCTGGCTGGCCTGGCCTGGCTACCCGTGTAGTGGCCACGGGGCTGAAGGCAGAGTCAGAAAGGTGCTGGGTCCTCAGACTTTGCATCTCCCCCCAGGCGGCCCTCCTACCCCAGCCCCTCTTTCTGCAGAGCTGGGGGCGGGGTAGCTGACCACAAGTGGAACCTGGAAGACACCCTTCCGCTGTCCCCCCATGCCTCCCGTTGTAGGGCAGCAGATGGGATAAAACTGATCAGGTTTGTGAGCTGGAAGGCCACGCCTTCACCACGCCCCGGTGTGACCTCGTGCCCTACCTGCCACACCTGTGCACCCCCCCTCCAATCAGACTAATCATGCCCCTTTGAAGTGGATTAAAGGCCTGGAACACGGTGGCCCGGCCCTTTTTTCCTTTTGCCCTGGACCCCCTTGCTGTCCCGTGCCTTGGGCCACCCGCCCCACACTTCCCGGCCTGCGCTCCCCTGTGTGGCTGGCTGCTGGTGCTCGCTGTGAATCCAGAGTTCTTAGACATTTCTCTCACTGAATAAAAAGCGTAAAATGTATCGTGCTGCCTTGTGTTTATGCCAGTATTCGGAATTCTCTGAATATGAGGCGAGGACCCACAAGGCCTATTAAAATTCCAAATTTATTAATAAGCTCCTGGCAACATAAATGGCACCCCGTGTTAGGAAACTGGCAGTTTTATCTATGGCACGATCCACACCTGATTTACATCCTAGGCCCCACCCCCATCCTCATGGGATTCGCTGCTCCTGCTTCCCTGCCCGCCTCCGGCAAAGTGTTAAAAGGGCCCCTTCCTGAACACGGGGCTCTCGCTCTCCTCGCTAGCTCCTCTCCTCTCTCTCCTCTCTGCTCTCTCTGCTCTGTCTCTCTCTCCTCTGTCTCTCTCTCTCCTCTGTCTCTCTCTCCTCTCTCTCCTCACTCTCTCCTCTGTCTCTCTCCTCGCTAGCTCTCTCTCCTCTCTGCTCTCTCTCCTCTCTGTCTCTCTCTCTCCTCGCTCTCTCTCCTCTCTGCTCTCTCTCTCACTCTCTCTCCTCGCTAGCTCCTCTCCTCTGTCTCTCCCTCTTATACTCTCCTCTCTTTCCCTCCTCACCCCTCCCCTCCTGCCTGCTGGGTTTCCCCAGTAAACCCCCTCCCTTACTCCAGTGTTTGGTGTGTTTTGTGACGGCTAACTTTGGTGCGTTGGCCGGGAAAACCTTACCTTGCTGACCCCGCGTCCCCCATGACTTTGCTGTCCCTTTGAGGATCTCTGAGCTGCTCTGGGGTCCTGATTCCTGCCGGTCACAAAACACAGCCCCGGAACTCCTTCCACGCCACCAAACACTCCACAGTCTCCATCCACACACCGGCCTTCCAAATTCTGAGGTAAGACGCGGACGGGAAATCCTCAGGGCGACTCGACTCTGAGTTGTGGCTACTGTCGTCTGCTTGTCTGACTCGTAAAAGTCGTAGCACTGGACACTACCCACAGCTCCTACGTAAGGCTTCTAGTCTCTACGGACACTGTGTCCGGGCAGCAGTGGGTGTGAGTGACGACTCGACCTCTGTTCCCCTTCTACAGGCGAGGCCCTGGGCTCCAGGGGGCGCCTGGGCGACGGCCCCGCCTTCTGCTCCCACATTCTCTCGGTAGTCAGATGGCCGGGATGCGAGGACGCTTGCAGTCCATGGATCTGACTCTACAGGTCGCAATGGGAACTTTTTTCTAGCCGATTCTCCTCTTGGTAGCCTCCTAAGGAACGTGGTCCCTCTCAAATCGGCTCCAGCCCTCAAACACAGCGCCTCATCTGTCTCTGTAATCGAGCTTGGCGTGTGTAGGACCTTAACAGTCCGTCAAAATTGGCCCCTCCACGGCAGCGCATTTGGCCCTGAGGGATCGGCCCAAGGCAGGAGTGGTTTGACCCTGATATCATTCAAGATCTTTATCACCTCTGTGAGCCCTCCAGGTTTTCCATCTTGGATCTAAACCTTGTGTCTGCACCTCCTGCCCTCTGGCCCAGGCCCTGTTGGCCGCCAAGGTTTCCACTAGAGGTCAAGGGCCTCTGCCTCCCTCGCTCCATCCCTCTCTCCCCTCTTCTTCCCTCTTCGCCCCCTCCCTCTGGTCTGCTGGGTTTTCCCCAATGAGCCCTTCCCTTACTGGTGTTTGGTGTGTTCTGTACTCCAGAATTCCCCCCACTTGTCAAACCAAGACCCTGGGGCTGCAGCGGGGAGTGAGGCAGCTCCCGGCAGGACTGGCTGCTGGACGGCAGTGCCGGTGGGAGCCCAGGCCTCCGCGAGTGTCCAGGCGGCAGACAGACAGGGCTGTCATTGTGTCTTTATTTTCCATACAGCCCGGGCACCCCCTCCTTTATTTCCAAACCAAAAGGAGAGTCTCCCGGGCAGATAGGCCTGGGTGTCTGCGGGCTGGCCGCTGCCTTTGTTCCCTGGGGATTTATGGCCTGCCCCTCCTGCTGCTGACTGGTCCCCCTGTGGCCACCAGGCCCTGCCCAGCCTCTGCAGGCCTCTCTTCCTGGCTGTGGGAAGGATCAAAAGGTTCCAGCGCTCAGGAAGTCTGTGCTTGGGCCAACTGTGGAGGCAGCATCAGCCCAGGCAACAAACGGCAGGAAGTGGGTCCAGCAGGGTGGCCGAGCGAGGGGCCCAGATGGGGGAAGCCCGGCTCCTGGGACTAAACGGCCAAGCCATCCCTAGCCACTAGAGCTTGAAGCTGACGAAGACGGAACTTCCAGTCCGACCAATGTAGGCAGGCAGATAGGATAAACTGATCAGGTTTGTGAGCTGGAGGACCACGCCTTCACCACGCGGCTGTATGATCTCATGCCCCTACCTGACCCCACCTGTGCGCCCACCTGCCAGTCAGACTAATTGACCCCTCCCCTTTGGAAGTGGATTAAAGGTCCCTTTGCCCTTTGCCCTTCTTTTCCCTCCCTGCCCTCCAACCCCTTGCTGCCCCGCACCTCTGGGGCGCGTGGCCATGGGGCCACCCGCTCCGTGCCTTCCTGCCGGCACGCCCCCCCACGAGGCTGGCTCCTGGTGCTCCGTCTGAATCCAGATGTCCCTCTCTCTTGGACAGGGCCCTCATTTCTCACTGAATAAAAAGTTTGAGAAATCTCATGCTGCCGGGTGTACTCGTGCCAGTATTCAGAATTCTCTGAACTCACGGCAGGCGCCCACACAGCTTGTTAACTTCAGAGAGATCCGGGGACACAGCCGAGAGACCTGCTGGCTCGGTGGTGCCGGCGGCTCACTCCAGGCTCTCAGGGACACCGCGCACACCGAGGCTGGTCCCAGAGCTTCATCTGCGGCCCACAACGCCCGCCGGACAAGCCCGCCTTCCCATCTCCTCTCCCAGCACCTGTCACGGTGCCGCTTTCACAAAGTCGGCTTTGCTGTAACCTTAATTATTACCGCTCCTTCCCTTCTCAGACTGAGCCCAGTGCTGGGGCCCTGGGAGAACGCTGCCTGCTGAGCCACGTGGTGCCTACAGGGCGTTTCTTTCTGTGGGCAGCTCTTTGGGTTCCTCCTGGAGGTGCCTCCGCTCTTTTGTGTGCATTTGACTTTATTGCGCCCTCCTCTGCCCCCGCCTCCCCCACACAGCTCCCGTGTCCCGTCGGCTTTCTCCAGGAATCAGGGCCTCGGCCATCCTCTGCTGCCTTTGTCCGCCAACTCGCCAGTGTAAGAAGTGTCACCAAGGGGCCGGCGTCGTGGCACGGGGACGAGGCCACTGCTGACGATGCCGAATCCTAACCGGACGCAGGTTCCCGTCCCACGTGCTCCACTTCAGCTAATGCGTCTGAGAAAGCAGCAAAAGATGCGCCCAAGGGCTTGGGCCCCTGCCACCCGCGTGAGAGACCGGGTTGGAGTTCCAGGCTCCTGACTTTGGACCGGCCCAACTCCAGCCGTTGAAGCCATGTGGGGAGTGAACCAGTGGATGGAAGACCTCTCTGTCTCTCCCTCTTTCTTGTAATGCCGCCTTTCAAATAGATCTTTAAAAAAATTAAAATCACCCAGTTTATTTCCCCTATCTCAGTTTCTCCAAGCAGTGGAAACGAGGTGTAGCCACTTGGGGGTCTCCTGTGTGGTGAGGTCTAAGTGGGGAAGGGGAATCGAGTCACGGGCCTCCTTGGGGCCCTGCAGCCCCACCCTCTCAGCCTCACCAGGGGTGGGGTGGGGTGGGGGTGCAGTTGGGCCCCTGGGCAGCCCAGGGACACTCAAGGGTGGGAGACAGCAGAGCCTCACGGCTGTGGGGACACTAAACACAGAGGGTGAGGACAGGCAGGTCCACTTCTCCCTAGTGACGGAGGGTGGAGGAGACGCAGGGCCTGCACACAGAGGGGCCAGGGAGGCCCAGTGGCTACAGAGCTCAGGAAGGTGGTGGGCACCCTCCAGATCTCCCACCAAGCTCACCTGGACTGGAGCCCCTGTGCTCCTGGGAGAGGCCCTGGGCACAGCCGTGCCCCCCACCCCGGGCACACACCCCCTCCCATTCCCTAGCACCCAGCACCTCCGCGGGGTCCGGCTCTGCTCTGCAGGTGCAGGAAGGTGGACAGAGGGTCCGTGGTCTGGCACCGGCAGCCTGGAGGGCTCAGCACCCTGCACAGGGCAAGTGGTGCGTGGCAGGCCTGCGGCTGGGGGCGGAAGGGGGGCGTTCCGGCTCTGCGGGGCGGCGCGGGCAGCCGGGCGGTGGAGCAGGAGCTGGGCCCGGCAGGGCCGGCAGATGGGCGGCCGCGGTGGGGGGGTGGCGGGCGTCTGGCCGCCCCGAGCAAGCGCCTGCCGGCCGCACAAAGCGGGCGGAGACAAAGGCGCGGCCGACACCTGTCGCTCTTGGCGCGGCTGCAGCTGCCAACTGTCACGGGCATCAAGTTACGGGGCCAGACGGCGGCGCGGCGGGGCGCGGGGCACCGTAGGGAGGTGGGGCGGGGGCCCGGGGCGGGGGGCACCGTGGGGAGGTGGGGCGGTGCATGACGGGTGGGGGGGCTGGAGCTCAGGGAAGGGCCGGGAAGGAGAGCCCGGGGGTGCGGCCCAGCGAAGGAGGCGTCGGAGCAGGGGGAGGCGAAGGAAAAGGAGGGCTACGGGGAACTGGGGGCGAGGGGACCACCGAGGGTGGGAGCGCTCAGAGCGGGTGGCGGGGCAAGGGGAGCGCGAGGAGGAACAGGCAGGCGACAGCGCTGGCGGACCCCGCCCCACCAGGATGCTGGGGCCAACCGAGGGTGGGCGTTGCGGGGCGAGCCTGGTGTCGGGATGAGGCTTGCCCCACCTCCCCGGAGCGCAGAGGCACCCTGGCCGGACGCGACGTCCCCTCCCGGTCCGGAGGAGAGAGCCAGGCGGACCACGGAGGAGCCCCCGCACGCACGCACGCAGACCCGCGCCCTAACGCGGCGAAGGAAGCGACCAGCGCGGCCGGGGCCGTGGTCTTGGGGGCCGCCCCCGCGGGGGTCGCGACGGCGCAGCGCGAGGGGCCCCGCCCTGCCAGCTGCCCGCCGCCCGGGCCGCGGGACCGCACAAAGCGCGCCGCTCCCATTGGCTGCGGCGCGCCTCGCGGCCCGCAGCGCCGCGCCCGCTCCGCCAATCGGCGCATTGACATGCAAATGAGCCTCTATAAAAGGGGCGGGGCGGCCGGCGGCCGGAAGACGCGCGACGGCGAGGGCTGCCGCGGGGCCTCGAGGAGCCGGCGCCCACCGCCCGCAGCCCTCGCCGCGCTCGTGGCGGGGCGGCCATGGCCCCGTCCCTGGCCCCCGGCCGGGACCGTACGGGCCGGGAGCACGAAGACAGCGGGGAGGCTCGTGGGGACCGCAAGGTGCGGGCCGGAGGCGCGGGCGGGCGGGCGGGGGGAGGCCGCCCGGGGCCGGGGCTCAGGGGCCCGCTTCCCGCAGGCCCGGAAGCCCCTGGTGGAGAAGAAGCGGCGCGCGCGGATCAACGAGAGCCTGCAGGAGCTGCGGCTGCTGCTGGCGGGCGCCGAGGTGCGGCCGGCGGGCGCGGGGGCGGGCTGCGGGGCGGGCTGCGGGGCGCGCGCCGGCCTCACGCGCTCCCCGACGGCGCAGGTGCAGGCCAAGCTGGAGAACGCCGAGGTGCTGGAGCTGACCGTGCGGCGCGTGCAGGGAGCGCTGCGGGGCCGGGCGCGCGGTGAGTGCGGGGCGCGCTGGCCCGGGCCGCCCCTCCCCGGGAGGGGTGACCTCCCCCGTCCGCTCGGTCGCCCAGGGCCCTCCCCGGGGTCCACGGAGGGGGGGACCCGTGGGCCAGGGGAGTCGCCGCTCACCGTGCCGGGCACGGCTCTCTCCTCCCCTCTCTCGGGCGCAGAGCGCGAGCAGCTGCGGGCGGAAGCCAGCGAGCGCTTCGCCGCCGGCTACATCCAGTGTATGCACGAGGTGCACACCTTCGTGTCCACGTGCCAGGCCATTGACGCCACCGTCGCCGCCCAGCTCCTGAACCACCTGCTGGAGTCCATGCCCCTGCGCGAGGGCAGCAGCTTCCGAGACCTGCTGGGGGGCGCCCTGGCGGGACCGCCGGGAGCCCCTGGGCGGGGCGGCTGGGCCGCAGGGGCGTCCCCGGGGTCCCCACTGCCCAGCCCCCCAGGTCCCGGGGACGACCTGGGCTCCGACCTGGAGGAGGCCTCCGAGGCTGATTTGAGTCGGGCGCCTGGGGAGCGGCTGCACTTGGTGCCTGCAGCCTTGGGCGGCCTCACTGCAGCCCGAATGGCCCAGAGCGTCTGGCGGCCCTGGTGACTGTGCTGGCCCGGAACCAGGGGCCAGGCCTTCCCAGCTGCACGCCCGCCACCCTGGGGGTCCCACGTGGTGGGGCAGGGCCCGAGGGGTCTCCCAGTCGGCCGCCCTCCTCCAGTGGGTAGCTGGCTGGCCAGCACCAGGTGACGGCCCAGCCAGGCCCCGGGCCCTGTTCCTGGAGGGAGCCTCTTTGTGCTCAGGGGTGGTGGAGGGGGGAGCTCCAGGCAGGAGGAAGACCCTGCCAGAGCTCCACCCTCTTCCGTGTGCACCTCTGCCAGCAGTCTCAGGTGCTGGGTGGGGAGTGAGGGCAGAGGCGGCCGGTGGTGCTGAGCCCTCGTGTCCCGGGCAGGGGCACCTGCAGCAGTGCCAGAGACGCGAGACGTTCTGAACGTCTTGCGGTAGCACACTTGAGTTTCTGTGTCAGGGTGCGGTCACATGTTCCCAGACGCATTAAATAAAGAGTTTCGCAGTACGACGGCCTTGAAGAAACCTGAATGATGTGTCGTTAATGCTGCGACGTGTGCGTGGTGACCTCGGCACATCCTGTCCTGCAGCTGGAGTACTGATGCGTTTAACACCTCGGCTCCGGGGGTCGCCCCACTTCCGGTCCAGCTCCCCGGGAGAGCAGCAGGAGATTGCCCAGTCCTTGGGCCCGGGCATTCACGTGGGAAACCAGGATGGACTTCCAGGCTCTCGTCTTTGGCCTGGCCTAGCCCTGGCCGTTGCAGCCATTTGGGGAATGAACCACTGGATGGAAGGGCGGTGTCTGTCTCTCTCTCTCTCTCTCATCCTCACCTTCTGTCAGCAAAATGAGCAATGGAGATGGACGCTTGCTGGCTGGCCTCCGCTGTGGCTGGGCAGGTCCTCAGGCCAGGCCACGCCTCCTGGAAATGGTGTGCCCCCAGAGGATTCCACTGGCAGGGGGCTTGTCTCCAGGGTGACAGGGATGGGGACGCCACCGTTCTGCAGTTGATGAGCTTCCAGGAGTCATAAAGCTAATGGCCATTTGGGATGGGAGCGGCCTCCTCGTTCGGATGCCCGAGTCTGCAGCCAGCGTCTGCCTACCTGTGTCAGGCTGTCGGGCTTCCTCCTCGTGCCACTGACTTGAGGGACGAGGGGACCCCACCTACGTGAGGTCAGAGGGCCGCGGCACGGGCAGCCCCTGTGCCTGGAGGTCGGAACTTGAGTGAGTGTGGCTCCCACAGTAGGTGACAGCAGCCCCGTGTGCTGACACCACACGCGTTTACCATCTGGCCCTTCTGTATCTGTGTATTTATGTACACACGTATATTGATGCGAGAGAGGAGGCAGGAACCCAACTGAGCCATCGCCTGCTGCCTCCCAGGTGCACATCAGCAGGAAACCAGGAATCAGCCCTGTGCCGCGGGTGCAGGTGCCCCAAGGGCGTCCTAACCCTGAAGCCAAATGCTCACGGCCTGGGTCTCCTGACCCTCCTCTGCCTCCTCCCCCCTACCTGTAAGGACCCTGATGTTTGCACTGGCTCAGCCATATAACCCAGACTCTATGCCAAACTTCTTAGTCCTCGTTTGCCATATAAAGTAACACGCACACGGCACTGGGGTGTGGACAGGGTGGGTCTGCCTTCCGTCGTGGCCGGCCATGTGGGCCTGGGGTCGCTGACCACTGACCCGCTCAGTGCCTGCTCTCTTCACTGGATCAGCCTACAGTCTGTGACGCCTTCCTCTGCAAAGGGGCCGAGAAAACCTGCCTGGGCCCTGGGAGCCTCTCTCCTTGGAAGCGGCCTCTGCCCTCATGTCTACACTTCCGACCCCTGCCCCCCCCTCCTCCGCAGAGTGCTGTCGGGGTCCCCTGGGACAGCCAGGCCTGCGGTCCCAGCTTGACCTCTGGGGGTCATCCTACCGTGCCCTCCCACGCTGCCCCCACCGGGTCCAGCCCTCCCAGCTGCTCTCCAGCCTGCAGGCTCCCCGCGTCCTGCCTGCTCAGTGTCCGGCAGCCAGCAGGTGGACATCACGCCAAGGGAGCCTGCTGTCACCCCTGTGCGCCCTGTGCGAAACAGCCTCACTGTCCACACAGGCTGGACTCGGACCTAGAAGTGCAGACTAACGGCCTCTGACCCATGCCTGGTGGGCCGCAGCGCAGGGCAGTTTACAGCAGGCTGTTAATTTCCTTCCCCCCTCCTCACCGGCTGAGTACCAGGCGGCTACAGCCTTCCCGGCATTGGCTTCCTGCGTGCCCAAGAGCCTTCAGGTGCATGTAACCCGTTACGCCGGCTGAACGTCTTCCTCTGAAAACTAACCATGAACCACTGTCGCTT